CCTGGACCATTAAATGTTATTATGAACTATATTGTTTTTATATTATTCAGAACTACTTTCAATACTCTGATAATCAAATTGTGTCTATAAAAAAAAACCACTACTTTCAGTAACCCTATAAAAAAAGAGTAAGTGAGAATTCTGAAATAATACCAATTTGTGCCCATTACAAGTAATCAGGATAAGTGTTTTAGAGAGTGTCTCTAAATACAAAATTCAACATAAGATTAATATCTTAAATATTAATAATATGTATTAAAAACAACAATAGTACGTATTAATAAATGCCACTCTATTTGACCAATAGTGTCTTGAAATTTCTTATCACAGCCTCTTATAGATGATTAGCCCACAAGTATTTTGTGGATACTCTCAAGCTGATTCTAAAGGTATATAGAAATAAAGGACCCAGAATTCCACACTATTTGAAAGAGTAGAAAAAAATCAGAGGAATGACGTACTGACTTTAAGACTTACCACAAAGACAGTGGTTGGTATTGGTAAATGAAGAGAATAATCAATCAACAGAAGACGATAGAAAGCGTAGTAAAACCACATTCTGATTGTCTGATATCGATATTAATAAAACTTCAGCTGTGTGTATATTTTCACTAAATGAACAAAAATGATGAGGATCAATTATATAATTAATGATTAAGAGAGGCAGAAATCTTTAAAATGCATATGTAAATGAAGGACAATTGTTCATGTATTCTAACAACGCCACTCCATCCCATGCCCTCTGCCAATCCAGATTCCCTGTCCTCTCGGCTTATTACTTTTTTAATGTTCCAGTAGCAGTTATAGGTGTACCTCATCTTACTGTGTTTCACTTTTTTGTGTTTCACAGGTACCGTATTTTGTACAAATTAAAGGTCTGAAGAAATAGCCAAGAACTAGAATTGGAAGGAGAACCTGAAGGTGTGACTGAATTGCTGTGATCTCACGATCAAACTTGAATGGATGAGGAGTTGCTTCTAATGGATGAGCAAAGAAAGTGGTTTCTTGAGATGGAACCTATTCCTGGTGAAGACACTGTGAAGATTAGCTTTAACTGAATATGCTGCATCTGTGTCCACTAAAAGTCAATTGGTTTGTTCCCCATGGTCAATTTTTACCTGGGATACCGGTGGGTAAATCTAAAGTTTGCAATTTAAGTCCATGGGAGCCCCTGGGCCTTCAGGGAGAGGGGAAAGACAACTGGGTGGAATAAAAGAAGAGTTTTCTAGAATGTCCACAGGGTCAGATGGGCCATGAAACTGAAAAAAGGCACATTCTACAGTTTTTGTGGAGGTCGTGATTTGAGGGACATTGATATGTGGGCTTGCATATATGGGATCTCTGACCATTTGGAGGAATTCCAATAAGAGGTCCAACTGGAAAATAGTATTATAAGAATGGGTTCCAGTGGAGGGCAACTTCAGGAATTGTGCTCAGTTAGCACATTGGTTGGTTAGGGCCAATGAGTTAATGAATCTGTTCGCATCAGCTGGGGTGGTCAGTGTAGGCCTTTTGGCCTTGCTCCATTTTCCATTGCTCAAGCCTGTTGACTAAAAGCAGCCTCTACAAACAGCTTATGTCATCTCTCTTACAAAATTTCACAATAATTTCTTATGGTGAAGCTTTTTCTTAAAAATAGCTTCCTGGGCAGCCCAGGTGCCTCAGCAGTTTAGTGCCGCCTTCAGTCCAGGGCATGATTCTGGAGATCTGGGATCAAGTCCCACGTCAGGCTCCCTGCATGGAGCCTGCTTCTCCCTCTATCTGTGTCTCTGCCTCTCTCTTTCTCTCTCTCTCTCTGCATCTCTCATGAATAAATAAATAAAATCTTAAAAAAAATGGCTTCCAAAATTTTCAATAGCTTGAAAATCAAGTTTCAAGTAACTTGAAACTTTAGTTTTGCTAAATTAAAATAAATGATAGAAGTGTATTAAATGTCTAGATCATTTCCAAATAAGATAAAATAATTAAATATTAATTTCTGAGCATAGGCGTATCTACTTTTGGCTCCCTCATTACAAAGAAACTAAAGATAACATTTGGATCTGTTAGCAAACATGTTTTATGCTTTATTCAAAGATTATACTATAAAAAGTAAGTATTTCTAGAAATCACAAAAAGTAGGATGTGTGTAAAAGAAGGTATGAGGAATGGAAATGCATTTTTGTTGAGGGAGAATAAAATAATTTTGTCCTATAATGAGATTGGTTATTTAAAGAGGGGATACTGGGGGATCCCTGGGTGGCTCAGTGGTTTAGCGCCTGCCTTTGGCCCAGGGTGTGATCCTGGAGTCCTGGGACTGAGTCCCACATCGGGCTCCCAGCATGGAGCCTGCTTCTCCCTCCTCCTGTGTCTCTGCCTCTCTCTCTCTCTCTTTCTCTCTCTCTCTCTCTGTCTATCATAAATAAATAAATAAATTTTTTTAAAGAAAGAGGGGATACTGAGGACAAAATCTAAGTGTAAAAAGAAACTTGAGAAGATCTGTGGAAAAGAAATCTTTGAAAAGGAATTTTTTAAAAATGTTTTTTATTGGAGTTCAATTTGCCAGCATATAGCATAACACCCAGTGCTCACCCCGCCAAGTACCCCTCTCATTGCCCATCACTCAGTCACCCCAACCCCCTGCCCACCTCCCCTTCCACTACCCCTTATTCATTTCCCAGAGTTAGGAGTCTCTCATGTTTTGTCACCCTCACTGATATTTTCACTTATTTTCTCTGCTTTCCCTTTATTCCCTTTCACTAATTTTTATATTCCACAAATGAATGAGACCATATAATGTTTGTTGAAAAGGAATTTTAATGTGTGGTCAAGCTGGCTAAGATTAAAATGAATTTATTGTAAAACAAAAGTACACTGTTGCAAAATTAGGATTTGGTTTACTTTTAAAAAGACCAATTTTTGGGATGCCTGGGTGGCTCAGTGGTTGAGCGCTGCCTATGGTTCACAGTGTGATCCTGGGGTCCTGGGATCAAGTCCCACATCAGGCTCTCCACAGAAAGCCTGCTTCTCCCTCTGCTTGTGTCTCTACCTCTCTCTTTCTCTGTGTCTCTCATGAAAAAAAAAAAATCTCTAAAATAAAAAGACCAGGTGATCCCTGGGTGGCTCAGCAGTTTGGCTCCTGCCTTTGGCCCAGAGCATGATCCTGGAGACCCGGGATTGAGTCCCACATTGGACTCCCTGCATGGAGCCTGCTTCTCCCTCTGCCTGTGTCTCTGCCTCTCTCTCTCTGTGTGTGTCTCTCATGAATAAATAAATAAATTCTTTTAAAAAAAATGGCTTTGTCAGGTTTTTTGATTACTTAAAACTGAGTATTTTCTACTGAAAGAGCTATGGTTCCCAATATTAACATTGTGTATTTGCCTGCAAAGTCTTTAATCGTCACCATGGCTAAATGGATAACTAACTATTGCTTCCCAATGGCTTATGATCCTATTTGACCAAGTATTTCAAAGCCTTTTGAATATTTTTAATAAGATTACCCGAATCAGCTTATTACTAACAATTTCAGGTATTTGAAACATTTTTTTAAATTTTTATTTATTTATGATAGTCACAGAGAGAGAGAGAGAGGCAGAGACACAGGCAGAGGGAGAAGCAGGCTCCATGCACCGGGAGCCCGACATGGGATTCGATCCCGGGTCTCCAGGATCGCGCCCTGGGCCAAAGGCAGGCGCCAAACCGCTGTGCCACCCAGGGATCCCACAATTTCAGGTATTATCTTAAAATGTAATATGTCTCAAAAATAACCAAACTTTCTTGTCAATACCATTGCAGTGAATTCTCATTACGTCTTTAACAACAGGCAATACAATCTATAGGTTGTGGTACATGTGTGTAAAGTACATTCTGATTCTACAAAAAATGGCCCCTCATTACCACACTCTTGCCATCCTGGTGTCCTTGTAACATGACAACAGTCTACTCCTGAATCACAGAAATTAAGATAGGTAAACAATGGCTATAAATTAAGTGATTAGTCAGGGCTATGGGAAAACCAAGATGGCTCCTAGCCCCTTGGCAAAACCCATTTTTGGTTTTTGCGTTCCTTTACTCACCTTAGTGCATTTAAGAAAAGCTAATTTGAAAAAAAAAAAAGAAAAGAAAAGAAAAGCTAATTTGTTCCTCAGAGGCCTCAGACCTCTCTCTGGATTTTTTGAACATCTACAGTTGGACTTCATTCAACTGCCACCTACTATGGGTTATCAAAATGTTGATGTGTTTCCCATGTAAGGTATACATTCCACAATATCCAGGTACCGACTTCATCAGGCAAATTATGTAAGACTTAATGAAAACCTTACAAATTTCTTAAAATTATCACTTTTGATTATCAGGCAAGGTCAACAAAACTAATGAAAAAAATGTACTCAGGCAGAACAAGTATTAATGACATAGGACTGAAGTCATCAACAAACTGATGAATATGGATTATAATTTTCATAACTTTTTAACTGAAGTGTTACCAGTTTTTAATTTTTTGTTTTTCCAGATTTAGGAAAGTCTTTTCTCTTAATATGTCAACCATTTGGTAAGATATACCTTTGTAAACAAAGATGAAATATTTGTCTTTCCCTCCCTACCTTATCCCTCTAGAATTCAAACAATATTGTTAGTTGTTTATATAAATTCAATGAGAAGTTGTTCTGCTTATCACAGGACACAATTTTTAAAAAATTGGCTGCCTTGCCAAGGCTTTAACTAGAACATATTTGTAAGATAGGTGCATAGACTCAGGTATGACCAGATAGCTTTAAAGAACTGCTTGCAAAAATTGGCCTAGTACCTTGCTTACAAAGTTCCAACAAAACAATCCTTTAAAAAGTTTATATAGCTAATCACTCTTTTTGCTGTTTTTATATAAATAATCAGGCCAAGCTTAAGCAAATTAGTTTTGTCATGATCTTTGAATTTTTTTAAAAATAAGGGTAATTGTAGAAAGAGAAGTTATATTTGTATCTTTGTATTAGAGTCTAGTCCTATTAATTGTCTTTGAGATTTTGTTATATACTTGGAAGCTGGACTGAATCCTAAATTCTTCTAGTTCCTTCAAATATCTGGCTTTGACTCTCCAAACTAACATTTCCAATTTTCTCCCACCCTTGTGATGTGAAATCATTAAGAACAATAATTGCCTTCAAATCTCCTTGCAAGAGAATATATCAAGTCCTCCTCACTGCCCACATGACAGCCAAACTTTAGGGACTTGAGCCTTGGGAACACATCTCACATCCAAAGAAGGCGCCACCTGACATATGGCTCTATACAAATGCTCGAGACCTCTGAACCAAATTACTAGGAAAATGAAGATGGCACCTAACGTGGACAGGTAACTCAAGACTCTGGACCAGGCCTGGATACTCATGAACATTATTTTGACTCTGCTCTTAATCCATTTCACATTAGACCTGCTTTACAATACCGCCAAACTTCTTAGCTTTTGATAACTCAACACTTCTGACATGCTCAGATTGTTGATATTTTTAAAATATTGCTACTCCTTATTTCCTCCCTTAATTTCCCTACTAAAATAGGTCCACCTTATTGATCGAACTATAATGTCTAATGACCATAATTTATGCCTCCTCAGGATATACTTTGACTAGTATTTGGCAAAAGGACTTACAGGGAACACAGTGTTTAAGCCCCTGTCAAAATATGGGTTGCTGTGCAATTGGATTATTTGTGACACCTATTTCATTTGCATAACCAATCAGAAACTTAGCATTAGACATCATCTTTAAAGTTACTTCACAAGCTAAAGTGTGACACTGGCAGCACATACAGTCAAGGGTGATCAATGACTGGTGGTGTCAACACCAGCAAAGCTGCCAGGCTTGGAAGATTACTCTTTCTTTGGTAGACACTGCCATAACTGAATACACCAGCAGAAATCTCTCTGATATCCTGAGGGGTATTGTTAAATCTGTTGCTAAAACAATAGCCATCCAAGAAAAACTTTTGAACTCCCCTGCACAGTTGTATTCACTAATGGAATTGTTCTCGGTTGCCTGCTAGCAGAACAACATGGGGTTTGTTCTGGGCTAAATACCTCTGGTTGTACTTGGGTATAAACACTCCTGGTGAAGAAACAGAACTAGATAAAATCTGGGCACAATCCAAGTGTCAAATGCAGTGCCTGCTGATTTCTTTTTAGCTGGCTGCCCTCAGGAATTGCTTGCTTTCTGGTTCAGATCAATCCTCTAATTTGGACTCAGCATTTTGTTTGTTATTATTGGAATTTTTCTCATTATAAAACTTTGTGTCCTCTATATAGCTTAATGTTATAAGGGTGTCACCTAGGAAACTGTCATTCAGCATTTTGAAATGATTTCTAAGGCTTTGAGACATTACATGAGGAAGCTCTAGAAACTACAGGAGGTATTTGGCCTTAGGACTTGATGGTAAAGACTTTCTCTTCTCTGGCACTAATGTTGCTCAGCTGTGGCCTAAGAATCCTAAGCAAGTCACTTTACTCATTATGTGGACATGACACACTGAGAATGAGCCTGCCTGGTGACAAGGGATCACTGATGCTTAATGGTTGATCAGCAATACTTTCAGAGAAAGATCTAGTTCAAAAGGGGGAAATGTGAAAAATTGACATGACAATCCATTTTAAAAGGGAGTAGAGATGGCCATTGTAGAGAAACCACCTTACCTACTTTTGTTTGAACTGGGCCAAAACCTTTGGATTGGGCAAAACAGCAATTGTTTTTAAGCATTTATTGAGAAGTCAGCAGAACAGACATCTGATGATCATAAGGCTCATAGTTGTGGGGCAGCCCAGGGGGCTCAGCAGTTTAGCCTTCAGCCCAGGGCCTGATCATGGAGACCTGGGATCAAGTCCCACGTCGGGCTCCCTGTGTGGAGCCTGCTTCTCCTTCTGCCTGTGTCTCTGCCTCTCTCTCTCTCTCTCTCTCTCTCTCTCTGTGTGTGTGTGTCTCATGCATAAATAAAGTCTTTAAAAAAAAGACTCATATTTGTGGACATTCTGAAGATAAAACCAGCAGTCAATGAATATATAACCCAAAGTAGCTTACCTTGTTAACACCTATAGAGAATTTTTCCTTTCTCTGTAACTGAACCCAAATCCATCTGCTGGCAATCTACTTATGCATAAGCTGTATTTATCCAATAATCATTTCTTATTACTTTGATCAAACTGTTATCTGTTACTCACTTAAAAGTAATAAAAGTAAAGATTTGATTTTACCTTCATTTATGTATTCTAACACTTTTTCTTTCCTTGTGTAGATTTGACTTTCTCATCTGTATCATTCTCCTCTCTGAGGAACATCTTTTAACATTTCTTGCAAGGCAGGTCTTCGGGGAGCAAGTCTTCATCTCAGAAAGTCTTTATGTCTCCTTCACTTGTGAAGGATAATTTTATTGGATACAGAATTCCAGATTTGTGGGGTTTTTTTTCTTTCAAATCTTTGCATTTTTTACTTCACTTGCTTCTTGCTTGAATTTTTTTTTTAAAGATTTTACTTATTTATTTGAGAGAGAGAGAGCAGGCGAATGTAGGGGTGGGGCAGGGGGAGAGGGAAGAACAAAGAGAGAGGGAGACTCCCTGCTGAGCAGGGAGCCTGACTTGGGGCTCAATCCCAGGACCCTGGAATCATGACTCTTAACTGATTGAAATACCCAGGTGCCCCAGCTTGAATGGTTTTTAAAGAGAAGTCTGATGGAATTCTTATCCTTGTTTCTATAGAGATAGGTAAAGTGTTTTTTTCCTCCATCTTCTTTCAAGATTTTTTCTTTGTCTTGCTTTTCTGAGGTTTGAATATTATATGCCTAGATGTAGATATTTCAGTATTTATCCTGCATGTTGTCTTAATTGTCTGGATTTGTGGTTTGGTGTCTGTTATTAATTTTGGAAAATTCTCAGCCATTATTACTACAAATATTTTTTTTCCGTTCTTTTCTTTTTTACCTTCTGCTATTTCCATTAGGTTTATTTTACACCTATTATAATTATCACATAAGTCTTGGATATTCTGTTCATTTTATTTCTATTTTTTAATTCTTTTTTCTCTTTGTTTTTCAGCTTGAAAAGTTTCTATGAACATACTTCAAACTCACTGATTCTTTCCTCAGCCATGTCCATTAAACTGATGACCCAGCAGATACATTGTTCATTTCTTCTACAATGATTTTGGTTTCCAGCATTTCCTTTTGATTTGTACAGTTTCCATCTTTCTTCTTAGAGTACTCATCTGTTCTTCCAATATTGTCTACTTTTTTTCATTAAAGCCTTTAGCCTGTTTATTATGGTTACTTTAAATTCAGGTCTGATAATTCCAAAACTGCCATATCTGACTCTGGTTCTGATGCTAGTTTTTCTCTTCAGACTGTTTATTGTCTTTTAACATGCTTTGTAAGTTTTTTATGGAAAGCTGGAAGGATCTATCAGGTAAAAGGAACTGAGATACATAGACCATTAGTGTGAGGTATTTATCTTGTTAAGAGTTAGGATGTGTTTACTGTTTGCTGCAGCTGTGGTTTCAGAGGATACAATTTCCTCTAGTGTTCTTGTTTTTGGGTCCTCTGTTGTCTTTGGGTTTCTCCAGAGACTCCTCCTTAAATGGATCTCAGGTTTGCAGTTTTTCCAGTGTTACCCCCTGTTATTATACAGAAGCCCCACTAAATGGGTGGTAAGATGTAGAGAAAGGGGAAGCATTCCATAATCCTATAATTAGGTCTCAGTTCTTTGTAAATATCTTTGCTGAGGTGTGGACTTCACAACTGCTTCTCAGCTTTATTCCCCCTCTCTAACCTCAGGTGATATAGGAAGGCTAGGGTGTGCTAGATTTGGATATCTCTCAGATCAATTATGCTTCAGAAAAAAGCCCAGAGAAACCCTTGTAAAAATTAGTTAGGCTCTGGTAAAATGCCTTCCCTGGAGGGCAAACCTTATTAAGGAGAACAGAAAGCTCTGGGCGTATTTCTGGGAATGGTTACTTTCCCCTGTCCCCTGCTCAAAGTAGAAAAGGTTTTTTTTTTCCTTTGGTCTTCAAGAACCTGGGGGAAAAAAAAAAAGAACCTGGGGAAGCCTCTGGAGGTAAAACTCACTAGTAGTTCATTACCATGGCAAATTGTGATCAATGCTAAGAATGAAAAGTACAGGGTATGATGATAGCACATAATAAGGGAAACTGAGATTGTCTATGGGATCAAGGAAGGTTTTTCTAAGGAAAAGAACTAAGTGGAACAACGGGAAAACTTTTCAGGCAAACGAAACAGCATGTGCAATTGCTCTGAGGTAAGAAGGAATATGGAACATTTGAGTTAATGAAAGAAAAATCAGGGGACTAAGTTGCCGATCCAGAAGGGAAGAGTGGCTCCAGATGAAAATGGAAAGGTTAGTAGGCCAAGACTTTTGATAGTTATTTTAAGAATAATGAGAACAAACTTTAGGAATAGAGTCAAAGCCTAGATAGATGTTTGGGCTAGAAATGAAGCAGGAAAAATAACAGACATTTTCTTAAGGTTATTCCTTTCAGTTGCCTTCCTCCCCTAATTCATCATTCTAGTTTTTCTTTCTTTTTTTTTTTAAAGATTTTATTTATTTATTCATGAGAGACACACACACACACACACACACAGAGAGAGAGAGAGAGAGAGAGAGAGAGAGGCAGAGACACAGGCAGAGGGAGAAGCAGGCTCCATGCCGGGAGCCCAATGCGGGACTCCATCCCGGGACTCCAGGATTGCACCCTGGGCCAAAGGCAGGTGCCAAACCGCTGAGCCACCCAGGGATCCCCCTAGTTTTTCTTTCATTTTAAGTCTATTCCGGGGGTTCTGTTCTGAGGACTTTCACTTCAATGAGTTCCTGAACCAGCAGAAATTATATGCAACATTTTGTGTGCACAGACATGTGTATTTTGTGAAGGATAAAGGTCCACAGTTTTATGGAAGAGCCCTGTAATTCTCCCACTAAATTGGTAGTGAGCAAGAGCTAGGTATTATGTTATTTCATGAAGTTAAAATTAATGACCAACATCTTGCTAATTGAAAGTTATATCAATGTAAAGGGTCAAAAACCAAGTATTAGTTTATTAAAAGAGAGATACAGGGACAAAGATTAAGGACTAATTAATATATGGTCTCATCCTTTATACCTTCTTCATGAATAATACGAATTAATAGTCATAGTAATGACCTTAAATATTGCAAAATTATGAATTCACATTTATATGATCAAAAAAAGGATTATGCTATGCCAGTATAGTTTCAGAGTTAAGTTGAATTTCAATCACTAGAAAACAAGTAAACCTATGAGCTGCATTATTTATGTATAGGATAACCTGCCTTGCCTTCACCGTCAAGGTAATACTCTGCTTACCCCTCTGGCATATTCCCTAAGAGGGGGGAAGAACAAAAATCAGGACTTCTTGTTAATCCTCCGAGTCTCTCGAGTTTGGAGGGCGCAGATGAGACAGCTCTGCCTTCTAAGGGTTAGTCTTAGACGCCGCTCGTCTGCACTCTGGTCCGCACACTGGCATCTCATTGGCACTTACACCTCGTGGCTCCAAAGGTGCGTCTGCGTCTGTGCCTGTGTCACTGTCACACACACACACACACACACACACACACACACACACACACACACACAATCTATAAATGCATTATGTCTCCACTAATGCTTGACTCGCCCCTTTGCGCGCAACTTGAATCAAACCATCAGACCCGGCAAGTCCCCCACCCCGCGCTGGATCCTGAAAGCTCCTCCTCCTTTGTTCTCCAGGCTCCAGTTCTCAGGTTTCCAGCCAAGACTGGTCGACTAGCAGGTCAGATTGGCTGCGGTAAGAAGAGGAGCAGAGGCTTCACCAAATCACAAATCTAGGATTTTCATTTTACTTGGTCTCCTCCCTGGAATCCTGGCAACAGGTGTGCGTAGTTGCCCTTCGAGGAACCCAAGCCTGGGGTTGCTATGGAGATAGGACGCTGCAACTTGCAGAGCCGCTGGGACCCAGGAATCTCTCAGCCGACCTCAACAAGGTAACTGCCCTGCGTTGCCTCTTTCCATATCTGCACGCCCCCTTCATCCACAACGTCGTTTTTTCTCGACTCCTTCCATGGAAGACTTGACATCCGCAAAGGAAGAAAAGGCAGACCAAGAAGTGGGGGATGTAGGGCGGCCATGGGAAGAAATAACAGTGGCTTCTTCCCAAGATCCGGAGTCTGGTTTATCTGAGCCCCTGGAGTCGGAGCAGGGGCCAGAAAGAGGACCCCAACCCAGAAGCAGCCCTCCTCAGAGCCCACAGTCTAGAACCAGCACTCCTCTGGATGACCTCACAGGACCAGACGCATCATCTGCACCTTCCCCTCCTCAGGAGGCCCCTTCCCCTCCTTCTATCCTGACTCTGGCCAGACAGGAGCTTGGCACACCTTGGCAGTCGGACAAAACCCCTGATGTGGATCCCAAAGCTGGGACACCTCGCTCCCCCCATTTGGAACAATCATCTGATAAAGGAGAATCGACTGCTCCTCAAACGTGCCAATCAGAAGGAAACACCTTTCAACAGTCTCAGCAAACCGGACATCACCTGCATGGCCCAGAAGATGTGAGTGAGAACAACTCTAAACAAAAAGAGCTGAGATTTAACATCTTTCAGGAGGAAGACTCAAACAGTAACTATGATCTGGATTGTGCTGAGCCTGGGGTCTCGGAAGTGGCCCCCAGCCTGCTTGAGATTGCCATTCAGAGTGCTAAGGCTTACCTACTGAAGACCAGTAGCAAGTCTGGCTTAAATTTGTAAGTCTTAAAGGGAAAAACGAGGGAGGAGGAGGAAAAGAAAAAGGGGAGTGTGAGTATCTTTGTGTGAAAGTGTGTGAATGGAAATATATTTGAAAAGTCTGCATTTGTAGGAGAGAGTGACTTAGTAACTCTTTGCATCACATAACTCAAAACAGATCTTTGATGGGGATTCCTTTAACTTCTTTAAAGACACTTTGCACACAGAAATAAAACCTAGGGATTATGGAATCTTGGGTTTAAAACAGATCATGAAAACAGTGAAGTCCAAGCATCTCTCCTAGATGCTTATAAAAAGTAATTGTCTACCAGTGATAGGGAGTGCATGGCATCCTGGTGCTTGTCTGGCTTGGTTTTGAGTCCCCTGCCTCACCAGGCCAGTGAGGGGGTGAGTCACTATCTCAGTTACCCAGAATTGTCTTGATTTGAGCACTGATTGTTCTGCATCCTGAGAAACCCCTTAGTCTGGGGCAAACTAGGAGAATTGGTCACAATAATTTTAAGGTCTGAAGAATTTTTTCAAGTTAATATTTAATGTGAGAAATCTTCCACAAAACCCAAGACTAACAATTCAAAAGATTTTTTCTAAAATACTGTTTTAAGCTACAGTTTATTTACTAAGCTTCAAGAATGTGAAGTAGTGGATTCTACTTGAATTTCTCATATAAACTTATGGTCATAATTCTCTGGGTTAAATAACAAGTATGAATTTACAAACAGTGTTAAAATTCCAGAAAAACTCATTATAAATACTTGAGAGTTCACTAACAATTTAAAACTGAACACAAAACATCGAAATGGAAAAATTTCTTTTACTGAATTATTTTGTAACTGACATTACTTAAATATCTAAATTTTATTTTCAAATGCTAAGTCTCTGAGGTCATAAATTGTCATCTCTTATAATATTCACTATTATCTTCTAAGTACGGTAGAGCCTGCATTTAAAAACTGCTCAGTAACAGATGACTTTAATTCTCTCTTATCTGCAGATCTTATTTGACAGCCATGAAAAATATTTTTTGTTGTGATTAAAACAGTCTTTTACTAAAACACAAAATCTGATATTGGTTTTACTCTGTTGAATAAAAAGCCTCCAAAAAGAATTGCTTCCTCCTTTTCTGTCATTCTATTAAGTTATTAATTATATTGTTACATATTATAATAATATATAATTATATATTAATTATAGCTTCCAAATTGAAAAAGCTATAATTGTGAATTAAAATCTAATAAACATATTTTACAATTTGACAGAAAGGCATTTTCAGGTTTGGACTTCTTAAGACACACTGATACAATATCTTGTCTGAAGAACTATAAATAAATCAAATGTAAACATATTAAAACTGGAAAAATAAAATGAAAATTTGGATGTAGAGTCCTCAATTTAATGGCAATTTAATGGCATTTATGGCCCCTTTTGGAGCAAATCAAGAACTCTAGTTGCTGTAATATGTTTTTTAAATAAGTTAAATATTCATATCAAATAAGGAAGATTCTAGGGTAGGATCTTTGTGGCAGATGAAGTTACTGTGTTTATCCACTTAAAATTTCTGAAGGCTTTGAGTTGTTGAAGTTTCCTAGAAACCCACTAATTGAGTCTGCATGTAATGCTTCTTCAAAGCCTTTTTGACATGGATGTTACCTGGAATCTTCTCTTTTCGGGTAGATATGATCATCTTTCTGATATGCTCACGAAGGTCTTAGATGAGCGTCCTGAAAATGCTGTGGACATCATTGAAAGTATCAGCCAAGATGTGAAGATGGCACATTTTAGGAAAAAATTAGATACACTCCAAAATGAGAATGAGATGCTTCCAACATATGAAATAGCAGAGAAGCAAAAGGCTCTTTTTCTCCAGGGAAATTTGGAGGGAGCCGACCAAGAACTGGAAGATGAAATAGTGAGTCATGGCTATAAATTTGAATAGTGCGATCTTCGGGTTTTGAGATGAGTGAGTGTGGCTTGAAATTCATATTGACTGCCTTCTATAGTTTCCTGAATAGTATTTGCAATCTCATTTCACACCATTCATTTCTTTATTTAGAGTTTCTTATTTTTTCACATTCTGTTTTAATATTTCATAGGCTTAGTTTTTATGTTTGTGGCATTGAGCTTCTTGTTATAAGAGAAAATGATTCCTTCATCTTTCATATTCTCCAAAGTACCTGGTATAGATATAGGTCTAAAGTTGTTTCTTATTAAATATTTGTTGAATGAGTGAATTAATGACAGATAGTTAAAAGTTGGGCTTTAAAACAAGTTGCCTATTTTCCCCATTAATTTACTAGAATAATTAGGAGTACCTCTAATGTTTTTGCGTTATTTTCCAAGGCAACGGAATTCCTCATAGTATGCATATTACATCAATGGGACATAATACAACTAGAGAGAGATAAAATATTTATTTTAATAGCTATATACAATGTGTTTTGAAAATATTTACAGAGAAAGCTGGTGTCAGAGATAAAAAAGCTATCATTAAAGAATAAAATTATTGTACCACAGAAATTTTTGCTCCAGATATTTTTAAAATAGCATCAAGTATTCTGTTTCTTGGATGCCCATATGGTTATAATTTATGCTACTGAGTAACTTATACTATATATCTACTGAGCTTCCATTATAGTACCACTAGAATCCTTAAAATCTGCCTATATGCTTGCAAAGTTGATGTTTGGTGTAAGGTATTTTCAGAAGGGTGGAGAGTTCAGTCAAGAAAAAGGAGGGTAAGGTGCTCCGCAAACTTTGTGACACAGTGGAACACAGAGTACTCGGAAGAAACAGTTCTTAGGTGCCAAGGAGTTGACATCAGCTGAAACTTTTCTGAAAATATCTTACTTCACACATGTGGTTAGATAGCCACACACACAGAGAGATGACAAGTCTGGGGGCAATCAGCATGTGGGGATCAAACAGATAGGCAGACACTCTCATGGTGGAGTTTATCAAAGAAATCAGTGTCTAGCATAAAGAATAGGGCATTGGGCCCTCCATTGGTACAGTATTAAATGGTAGAGATCTGCATCCTAAAACTAGGGCTGAAAACACAAATGAGGTGTTTTGGTCCTGGAACTTGAACCCCTTAATCAGGTTTCATAAATTCTTCCTATTGAGGAGTAGCATTGGTTTTAGAGCCAACAAGAGCTGAGCCATCAGATGAAGATTAAAAGTTCTACCTCAGGCAGTAGGAAGATGCAGGAACAGAAAGACGCATAGGTCTTGGAAGCATTGAAATATGAGCTATGTGACCAACTCTGTCTCAGACTTAAGATGGAGAGTGTTCATGATTCTATTCCTGTCTTTGACCACATGAGAATTCCTGTTCCTAGTTTTCAGCTTTCATTTATTTGTTAACCCAGTAATTCAAAAGCCCTGTGACCACCCACTGCATGCCAGCTACACGTGAGAAAGACATACACGTGAAATGATGCACACATAAAAAAGACTGCCCAACTTAAGTCAGGACAGTCTAGTGAAAGAAGCAGAAAAGGCTGTAACACTATTTGATCAGCGCAAAAATAGAGATAGCCTTGTTTGGTGGGAAAAAAATATGAACTTTGGAGTTACACCTGAATTAGAATCATAGCTCAATCCCTTAACTTACTGTGTGACTATGAGTGAGTGATTGAAACTTTCCAAGCCTCAGGGATAATCACATGTCAACAACTCAAGGGGTAGAGTACTATATATGATAGCTTTGGCACATACTGGGAATTTAATGAATGATTATATTGTTTTTACAAGCCATTAAACAGAATGGAGCGACTAACTCCATTAATTCCCACTATCGGGAATTGGGCAAGGCTTTGTACTGGAGGTGATATTTCATTTGGGTCGTGAAGGATAAGTAGAGGTTCATGAGACAAAGACTATACAAGGAATAAATTCTGAGCAAAAGGAGCAATAAAAAGTCAGGAGACATTATGTAATGTTTGGGAAAGTGAAACCTGGGATTGAGGAAGTGATAGAAACAAAGCAAACAGGTGCTTAAAGCCAGACTGTTCTTGTGCACTGATAAGAAATTTCTTTCTTCTGTATGATGGGAAGTCAAAAGAAGCTTTTAATAGAAAATAGCATGATCTTACTTTTGGTTTAGAAAGGTAACTCTGGAATTAATGTGGAGGAGAATGAAAGAAGAAAGATTAGAACAGGGCAAGAAAAGCATGTGAAGCCTTCTGTGACAGGATAAGGAGTCAGGATGGAGACTAGTATGGAAGAAATGAGCTAAAGAGGAAGGGATAATGGGCATAGCTTTTTAGGTGGTAAAATCAATAGGACTCTAATTAAATATGAAAGTGTAGAGAGTGAGAAGAAATAGGGTGATGGAATTACTTTGGGAACCTGAGTGAATGGTGATATTATTGGCAAAGATAGGGTATATAGTAAAAAGAGAAGATTTTGAGAGAAATATGAATGCAATCTTAATTGGAGGTATATGTAGACTATTCAACTGAAATTTCTCATGACTAGAAACACAGGTGTAGAACATGGGAGTAAAGTCAGAATGAGAGAGCTAGATTTTGAACGACAATATAACATTTGAAGTGTGTGGAAGCAATCTTCCAAGCATAAAGTACTGAATGATGACTGAAATTTGAGGACATGAATATTTAGGGCTCAATAAAGGAAAAGGAGCCAATTAGAGACTAAGAAGAAATAGTTTTAAAGGACAGTATAGGATGAAGAGTGATAGCCACTGTGGAAAACAGTAGGGAAGTTCCTCTAAAAATTAAATATAGGGGCAGCCCTGGTGGCCCAGCGCTTTAGTGCCACCTTCGGCCCAGGGTGTGATCCTGGAGACCTGGGATCAAGTCCCACGTCGGGCTCCGTGCATGGAGTCTGCTTCTCCCTCTGCCTGTGTCTCTGCCTCTCTCTCTCTCTGTGTGTCTGTCATGAATAAATAAAAATAAATAAATAAATAAAATTAAATAAAGGAATACCATATGATCCAATAATTCCACTACCAAATATTTACCAAAAGAAAACAAAAACACTGATTTGAAAAGATGTATGCACCCCTATCTTTATTGCAGGACATTATTTACAATATTTCAAGATATGGAAGCCACCTAAATGTCCACTGAAAGACAAATGGATAAGGATAATGAATTATTTCACAATCATAAAAAAGGATGAACTTGTGAGAGCATGGATGGACCTAGAATGTATAATGCTAAGTGAAATAAGTCAGACTGAGAAAGACAAATACCATATAATTTTACTCATATATGGAATCTAAAAAGACACAAGTTTATAAACAAACAAAAAGCAGAATCAGTCCTGTAAAAACAGAGAAGAAACTGATGTTTGCCAGAGGAGAGAGGGGCAGAGGGACGGGAAAAATGGGTGATAGGGATTGGGAGATACAGGCTTCCAGTTTTGAAATGAATGTCACAGAAATAAAAGATGTAGTGTAGGGAATACAGTCAATGATACTGTAATAGTATCGTGCCCTTGTGGTGAGCACCGCATGTGTATAATCTTGTCTAATCACTATGGATACACCTGAAACTAATGCAATGTTGTGTGCCCACTACACTCAAATAAAAAAAAAAAAAAAAAAGAAAAAGAAAAAAAGGTGAAGGGTGCGACAGATGCCAAACATGTAAGTGATGAAGGTTGTAAAAAAGTCATTGTGCTTATTCTGACACCAAAAGTATAACATAAACAAGGGCAGAACACTTGTAAGAATTAGCAAAGTGCTCTCAATTTCTCCATCTTCAAGGTCTAAAATTTGTCTTTGTTTATTTAAAACTTGCACATGATCCCTATCTTACTTAAAGTTACTTTCTACTTTCTCACAGATGTTTTCTTAGAGTCCACTTGAGGCTTTGCTTTTTCATTTCTATTCCCTTTATAATATCATTTTTTATTTTCTTCCTTATGTTAAACCCCAAAGTATTTATTATAAGTAGGGGCAAATACCTGACTAAATTATGTTTTCAAGGGCAGTCACATCTGAGCACTTGTTTTCTATCTTTTTGTTATTTATCCTATATATTCCCCTATATAGAGGGCCATATTGATTTTTATTTACCCTATCTATGATCAGATGTACACAATAAATACTGCTTTCTTAGAAAAACAGTGGTAATTTATATGAACAGATATAAACTCTGTCTAAATGTAGGTAGGGAGGTAGATTATATTTTGTTATTTCAGAATAGGAAAGGGACCATCTAAGTATTTTTTTTTATGAAAAGAGGATGTTGAATTTTTATTATTTCTAGTAGCGATTCAATTATCCTTAAGACACACACATACAATGAGGCAACTCTCATATTGGTGAGTATAAGACACAACAGTAAAAGTTAGATCTGTAAGTAACGAGAGAAAAATTGGAATACAGGAATGATCAGAGTTTGCTCTAAGCCTTGCAAGGAATGTCGAAGACATGATGGAAGGAGGAAAGTAGAGCTCATAGCAAGATGTGGATAAAGGAAAAAGGAAGCAAGCAGTTCCCTTAGAGATAGAGCATTAACCACCGCATTTGTATCCCCAGGCAGAAAACTCTCTCCCAAACCTAATGGAGTCAGCCTTTTATTTTGAACAAGCTGGAGTTGGCTTGGGCACAGATGAGACTTATCGCATATTTCTTGCCCTCAAGCAACTTACTGACACCCACCCAATCCAAAGATGCCGCTTCTGGGGCAAGATCTTGGGTCTGGAAATGAATTACCTGGTGGCTGAAGTAGAATTCCGGGAGGGCGAGGATGAAGAGGACATAGAAGACGAAGATGTCCCTGAAGAGAGGGACGATGGAGACAGTGGAGCTGATGAAGACGACGAAGATGAATTACCCAGGGCGTTTTACAAGACCCCACAGGCTACCCCGAAAGAAGAAAGCAGAACAGGGGCCAACAAGTATGTGTATTTTGTTTGCAACGAACCGGGCCGACCGTGGGTGAAGTTACCATCGGTGACACCTGCACAAATAGTCACTGCAAGAAAAATCAAGAAGTTTTTCACTGGGCGTTTAGATGCTCCCATTGTGAGCTACCCGCCTTTCCCAGGCAATGAGAGCAATTACTTACGAGCACAAATTGCCAGAATTTCAGCAGGGACCCATGTCAGCCCTCTGGGATTCTATCAGTTTGGCGAAGAGGAAGGAGAGGAGGAGGAGGAGGTGGAAGGCAGGCGAGACAGCTTTGAAGAAAACCCCGATTTTGAAGGCATCCAAGTGACTGATCTCGTGGAATCTCTATCCAATTGGGTTCATCATGTGCAACACATTCTCTCTCAGGTAGGGGTTTTGCAATTCTCGATCTATCAGCCAATCAGCAAATTTTATTAAAGTCTCTCTACAATGCACAAATATATACAAAACAATGTTCTCCAGACCCTAAAGAAACCATTGAAAAATCAAATAAAAGCAGAGTAGTACAAAATTGCTGAGCAGTCTAGATCTGGGATCTTCGAGTTTTTATTTCCAAACAGAAATAAAATAAATATGTCTAGGGGGAATTTGAGAAGTTATGTAAGGATTTAGGTTAATTATTAATTAATTAAATTTTAATTATAATTTATGATTTAATTATAGTTCTAATTAATTATAATTATATTATATTTTATACGTCAAATATAGATAGGTGCATTAGTTTGGGGAGCAGTTCTTTTTATTCTATAATACATGGAGCTTTTATACCAAGAAAAATAAAATATAACAAACATGAAAATAATCAGTGCTATCTGGCAGTTATTTGGCACCTCTTCTCCCAGGTGTTTTTTTTTTTTTTTTTTAAGATTTTATTTATTTATTCATGAGAGACACAGAGAGGGAGGCAGAGACATAGGTAGAGGGAGAAGCAGGCTCCATCCAGGGAGCCCGATGTGGGACTCGACCCTGGGACCACAACCTGAGCCAGAGGCAGATGCTCAACCTCTGAGCCATCCAGGCATCCCCTCCCAGGTCCTCTTAATAGCACTTTATATATATTATCTCATGTAAGCCTCATAACTGTATGAGAGACTAATACTATCCTCATTTTACAGATGAGAAAATCAAGGCAGAGAGTTTAGAAAATGTGAAAAAGGGATTATAGGTAAAAGGCAACAGGGTCACCTGTGAATGGACAGAATGGATCCAGCATCCATCCTCTTAATCACCCTGCTGTACTGTCTCATCTGTAGGTAGAAAATCATTGCATCTGATCTATGGAAGAGGTACTCTGATATGTCTCTGGATAAGAGTCACTTAAATGAGAAATAACCCCAACCTCCTTACCTAACTTTATTATCGCATTCAAAAATTCGTTGTTGCTAATAATAATAGCACCTTATCATTTTCACATAAATTATTTATTACAAATCAGTAAAGTACATATTTTTCTCACTAAGATTTTGCTGATTTTAAAATATAAATGTTCGGTAACTTTAAGCAGTTGGCAAATTTGTGAACTAAATTATAGCATTTTTTGCTTGAAATATGCTAGATTAAAAACCTAGCACCAGGGATGTTGAATGAATAAATGATTGATTAAATTCCCACATAGTAGGACCTTCTGCAGATAACTGCTTTAATCTGAATAAATATTTCAATATTTTAAGGTCTTCATTAGACGACTAAATGTTGCAACACTCATTCCCAGGGTCGCTGTAATTGGTTTAACCCCATACAAAAGAGTGAGGAGGAGGAAGAGGAGGAGGATGAAGAAAAAGAAGAAGAAAAAGGAGAAGAGCCTGACTATATAGAACAGGAAGTGGGGCCTCCTCTTTTGACGCCGATCTCTGAAGATTTAGGTAATTTTACACAAACTACATAATATGCCGTGTGTATTATATACACTATACAGATGCTATGTATATATAATATAGTATACACTATATAATATATATACACATTATATACACTATATATAATATATATTATATACACACACTATAGTGTATTTTTCATGTATACATAATATCCTGTGGATATTATAGAGTAAATACATGGGAGTTGGAAACCAATAAAAAGTGAACAGGAACCTAAATTTCATCCACTTTCATTCACGTGCCTTGGCATAGCGGAGATTAGAGACTATAGCTGGCCCCACCACCAACTTCCTCAGACAGAGGGTGACGAGTGGTGCAGGGAGAAATGTAAATTGGCTGAAGCTCTTACTTGGAAATGCTGACAGTTGTCTTGTGTTTCATTCTTGTCTTGCATTCTGCAGCCAAGACCTATGGCCATAAATACCCAACATAGTTACAGTAAAATATTAGATGAGATACTGTGGCTTTTTAAATCTACCTTTGTCCTTCTATTCTTGTTTCTTCCTATTCAGTTCTGGAGCATCTTTGCTTATAACTCTTGTTCTCTTTCATAATAATAATTTGATCTTTTACTTGGTCATTAGATAATTTTTCTAAAACTTTTCTCTGTTGCACAGATGGACACACACCTGCACACATACACGCATATAAATAATTGAATTTTGTTGTTCCACAATGTTCATAAATTATCCTTTTGACTTTATGTTAAGTTGCTGATGTTTACTTTTTCTTTGTGTGTCAAGTATGAGTTTTAAGATTTCTAAAAACTTTGTTATACAACAGATCCTTGTCTGTTTAGAAGTTACGCTTTTGAATTTCTCTTTGGTTTACAGAAATCCAGAATATACCACCTTGGACAACACGGCTGTCCTCAAATCTCATTCCTCAATATGCTATTGCAGTCCTTAGATCCAACCTTTGGCCTGGAGCATATGCCTTTTCCAATGGCAAGTAAGTATCTGACGGCTTACAAAGCCATTATTAAGACTATTTAAATGCTAGAAATTATAGTTATCGCTGGAATGTTATGTTCCAGTTTTTTTTTTTTTTCTTCTCCCTTACCTGCTTCCCCAAGTAAAGTATAAGCCTGGGCAAAGGAGTTAGAGCAACCCCAGAGTAACAGATAAGGCTGCCCTGGGTGGTTGTTCAGGGCAGCCATTCACAATAACCTTAGGGTGAGATCTCAGACCAGGATGGGAGGGAAAAAATGGCATGGGGCAGTCTATCCAGATAGCTGGTAGAGAGGTGGATTCCTAGGAAGGTCCAGGCCATGAGCCAGATGTCATGTTCAGCACTTGTACTTACATCTTCCTCATCATCTTTTATCACAACTTTGGGAAGAGAGGTCCCTCATTTCATAGCTTAGGGAATTGGCTGAGATAAAGAGGGAGCAAGAGGCTGGAGGCAGATGAAGTCCCTGGACTCCATAGTGGGTAGTGTCACTGCCTGGGATAAAATTCTTCCTGTTGCCCAGATGACCACTCCCAGGGAACCTACACCACCACAATCTCCCATGATCACTGAAATGCTTAATTCTTCAAGGAATCTTCTCAGCTGTGAAGACTTGAGAAGCTTGTCTTCTCAAGGGCAGTTTGCATCAGTCATTTCCTGTGGTAGAAGAATCACTGAGGGCGATTTCATCCCTAGCACTTTAATGTATTGTTTTTTTTTCATATAGCTTTTTATTTATTTATTTATTTATTATTTTTTATGATAGTCACAGAGAGAGAGAGAGAGAGAGAGAGAGAGAGAGAGAGAGAGGCAGAGACACAGGCAGAGGGAGAAGCAGGCTCCATGCACCGGGAGCCCGACGTGGGATTCGATCCCGGGTCTCCAGGATCACGCCCTGGGCCAAAGGCAGGCACTAAACCACTGCGCCACCCAGGGATCCCTAAAATGTATTGTTTTAAAATTACGGGGATATGATGGTCTAAGAGAGAGTGATCAGCTTTTACAGAAGGATCAACTTTCTTACTGAAAAACTGTATAATGATCATTCTACTTTCTCTTCAAACTTTATAGAAAGTTTGAAAATGTCTACATAGGCTGGGGTCATAAATATAGTCCAGACAACTATACACCTCCAACTCTACCCCCAGTTTGTCAAGAATACCCCAGCGGAGCAGAAATTACAGAAATGGATGATCCTAGTGTGGAGGAAGAGCAGGCTTTCAGAGCCGCTCAAGAAGCAGCTGCTCTTCCTGCTGAGGAAATGGAAGAAACTGAGGAAGATGAAGATGAGGAAGATGATTAGGACCAAGAATAAAATCAGTCCAGTCTTGTGTGAGACTGGTACACATACACCACGTGTGGAACCAGTTTTACATATATAATATGTAGTAACAGTTACATAAAAATTGGCAACTCTTCATGTGCAAAATGTCATTGCTTGAAAATGTCATTTGGAATTTTGTATGTGCGACTATTAATATGTACTTATAAAGAGACGCTTGATGGGTTTTCCAGAGGCCTAAATGACATATTCTTATATCACTGTTATGATGGTTACAGCTAGTAGAATGTGTATTAAAAAAAAAGTCTTAGGCATATTTTCTAATATGGAAACATGGAAAGATGTAATCCACAAAATCTTGGGGACTTTAATATTTATTGGTGGGTACTGGGGCCAAAAATATTGATAATCCCTGAATTAGAGCATGTGTTTTTAACTAGCCTGTGATACTGTATGTGAATATTGTGTTTGAGTTTGTATGGGGAGGGTTGTTTTTTGTTTTGTTTTGTTTTGTTGGGAAAAGGATTTATAATTTTATCACCTGCTCAAAGATGGGAACACTCAAAACTTTTACTTGTTAACTTCTTAAAAAGGTTGTCAGTCTGACTCCTTTACCTTACAGAAATTGGTTTGACCTGACTGGGGGAAAATGATCTGCACAGAGATGGCTGGCTGGAACATCCAGGCTTCAGATTACTACTCTTCTACTCCTATTTCTCTAAAAATGAGTTTATTATTTCCATTCACTAAAAAAGTATTTTTGAGTCCTTTATGTGCCAGGCACTCTGAGACTACTGCTAAAAAGTAGCAATTGCTCCTGAAGTCTTTGAGCTTCCATTCAAGGAAGGGAATATTAAAAGAGGAATTGAAAATTAGAACAGATTGCGACTTAGCAGGTATTGTAATATAAATGTCACAGGGTACCACAGAACAGTGCTTCTCAAATTCTGTGAAGTATCAATTTTTTAAAAAAATTAAAGATTTTATTTGAGAGAGAGAGAGTACACAAACAGGGGGAGTGGCAGAGGGAGAAACAGACTCCCTGATAAGCAAGAAGCAAGATGCACAGCTCACGCTTAACTGACCGAGCCACCCAGGAACCCCTAAAAATAAAAATTCTAACCCAATGCCATTATTTTTGTAAAATAAAGTATCACAGCAATTTTAAATTCTGAAATCATCTTGTCACAGACTGGCAGTTCTCAGATCACTGATCTATCTACACTTTGAAAAACACTGCTATCAAACATTTAGAAGGTGCATTTAATCTGGACTTGGGACTTGAGCCTCACAGAAAGCACTTCTAAGAGCTGGAGAACTAAGGGGAGAAGGGTGCTAGGCAGTAACCACTGTTTTTTGGCAAAGGACTTTAGGCTGGAAGGAGCAGAATTTTAAGAGTGGTGAGGGATGAGCCTGGAGAGGTAAGCAGGGCCCAGATTGTGTGGAATGTCTCGACTTTATCCAGGAGCAATGAAGAGGACTCAAGGAAGTCACAAAATCACATCTGTATTTCAGAACATTAGGCTTCCATGTGGAAGACTGACCGACAGAGGATCAAGACAGAGGATCAAGAATGACCAGTTAGATGATCCCATTATCTAGATAAAAGGTAATGATGGCATGAAATGGGATAAAGTAGAAACCTGGCTGGCTGTCTGAGGGATAGAATATTAGAAAGGATGATTCCAGAATTTTCCAATTGGCAGTATTATTCATTCTTGGAGTACACCTTTTACTATTTGATGGAGTAGCTAATATTTATAAAACCTTATTCAAGTATGTTCTTCCTTTTTTTCATGGTGCTGCTTGTTGTTGTATTATATCCATTTCCTTATCTACCCTGATTTCCTTTTGAGAAACTGCCTCTGTCCCCTGGCATAGTCTCATGCCAATCAGATGTGCTCTTTCGAGAAACTGAATTTTGAGCAGAGACATTTGACCTCAGCTCCTAATCTGATTGTTCTGCTATAAATCGGATCACATGCTGGCCTCTAGATTTGTCTTTGTCCCAGCACTATTTCCTAGTTACCTGGTATTCTCTAAGTTTCTGATACTCTTTCAATGAACTCCCTTCTGCTCAAATTGGCCAAAGTAGGATTCCTGCTTACAACCTTACCTGACACATCTAACATGAATCTGAAAGTTTCTTTCCTATAGGCCATGTTAAACACAAGGTTCTAATTCAGTTGTATGGGTAAGAGTATAAATATTTAACAAAAGTAAATCCCTCTTTTTAGAGTTATACCTGTTAAGTATTAAGGTAATTTCTAAGTGATAAGAAGGGAATTTCATTATATATGTTTTATAATGAAAGAAAGCATAATGCTCAAGTGCTAAGAGCTTGGAAGGGAGACAGCCTGGGTTCAAACCCTGGACTACAATCATTTTCTTGGGCAAATTACAAACCTCGCAGAGCTTCAGCTTCCTTACAGGACTAACAGAATTGGTCTCAAAGAATTATTTTAAAGATTACATTAATTAATACATGGGAAGTACTAAGAATACCTAACACAAGGACCCAATAAATATTACATATGACTATCATACAAAACCAGTTTCTAACACATAATTCTAAGAGGAAATACAGAACTCATAATGCAAACAAAACAGTTTATTGAAATAGTTTCTAAACAGTGAGGTACTCGAGGTATGATTTGGATGTTTCAGAAATTATAAGTTGAGTATTTAGAGAATTCAGATTTGTAAGCACTATGAGGGAGTTTATAGTATCTGAATTTGGAAAAGAAAGTAAAATCCCATGATCACTGAAATGCTTAATTCTTCAAGGAATCTTCTCAGCTGTGAAGACTTGAGAAGCTTGTCTCCTGGCCTTGAAAAGGAATTTTAAAAAACTGTTAATTTTAAGCAAGAAGTCCATTATTTAGAATATATATTAATTATCTAACATAAAAAATAAAATCTGGACTTTTTTTAAGATAATGAAAATTCCTTAAGAAAAATTACAACTTCAAACTTAGGAAATTAGGAATAAACATTTTTTCTTTTTAAGTAGGCTCCACACTCAGCGTGGAGCCCAACATTGGGCTAGAACTCAGGATCCTGAGATCAAGACTTGAGCTGAGATCAAGTTGGATGCTTAACTAACTGAGCCAGCCAGGTGCTCTATGCTCTAGTAATAAAGATTTTTAAAACCAACCCCAAAAAAGGAAATTAAACAAAATACCAGGTAAAGAGAAAAGAGTAAAAAGAAAATTCACCGTTTTAAGGAATAATGAGTCAAAAATAAAAATGATGGCTCACAGTCAGAGAGACACGTATAAACAGAGAGGGCTGTGAGCAGAGAATCTTTAAGAAAATTATCTCCATTATAGCTTTAAATGTCACTTTAAAAGACTTTCAAGCATTTGTTCTATTTTTACAACTTGAGTTATGAATCAAGGCATATTATACCAAGCCAGTTTAAAACGAAGTTAAATCAAGGATTTTACAAAATGTACAAGGATTACAAAATGGAAAACAGAATGCAGTGCTTCTTTGTAGAATTTAACTAAAACATGTCAATGTATGAAAAGAATTGAGGAAAATGGCTATTAAGTAGGTGTGTATGCATTACTTAATTGAATTGCATTAGGAGATATTTGCCAACATAAATTCTTTCACTTAACCAAGTGCTCCAACATCTGTAACAGTTTGGAATTATTACTCAAAATATACTTATGGCAGAAATGCATTATGGTAATTATAGGACAGCTGCCAGGATAAAAACAATTTTTTGAAACCTGTTTCCTTTCCTTGAATAAGAGCTGCATGATTATTAAAATATTATAATTAAACTCCAAATATGAAGAATATAAAATGCAGTTACAAATATCTACACTTTGGGATACTTTAAAATACCAAATATGTTCTAAAATTCCTACAATTAAAATTATAGTTATCACTTAGGAGGAAAAACACATTTTAAAATGAGCTATAAATAAACCACCACTCTGAAATAAAAAGTAAAGTCATTAATGAGCCCTTAGTTGAAGCTGCAGATGTCTATCTGGTGATACACAGATCAATCAGTATGGCAGTATTTGCTGAATTCCTGCAAGGTAGACAGCACTGTTAAAAATGGCAGAATAACTCTAAGACACAATGATTTAAAACAAAAAGGAAGAAACAAAAACGTAGGCTTGAAAGGGCTATGTAAAAATAATGTTAACTGATTTTTTTTCATTTTTCAAAATATAGTTATCTTTTCAATAATAAAAGTGAATTGTTCACATATAAACTTAATTAACAAATATGAAACGACAAGACATTGTATCCTCCCAGAAGCAGCCACATAGGGCAGAACTCTGGATGTAAACTGACTGAATTGGAATCCTGCCTCTTGTTACTTAGCAGCTGTGTGACTTCAGAAATGTAACAACTCTTCTGAGCCTAGACATCCTCATCTGTAAAATGGGAATAATAGAGCCTACTCTATAGGGCAATTGTGTAATCACATTAGTTAATATCTGTGTAAAAATGCTTAGTGTGGTGCCTAGTGCAAAGCAAGCATTACAAAGTAATACTTTATTAGTATTACAATTATAATCATATTATTTCTTTTCCACCTAGCAGTATTGTAAATAATGAGCCAAGTTCTAATTCTTTTAAAGAAGTTAAAGACACAGCTACTCTCTATGACTCAAAAAAAAAAAAAAAAGAAAGAAAGAAAAGGACAAGCTACTCTTCTAACAACATCTCAGTTCCCACAATCAGAAAGTTAACATAACACCGAACTAAAATGTTCAGCTAGGTTCCATGATAGTATTTAACCTCACTTATGCTCTCATAAGTAACCTGTATACTGATGAACAAGCATCTTGCATTTTATAACAATTAAAATTAACCTCTAACAAAACAAAAAACAGACTTAACTATAGAGAACAAACAGATGGCCACCAGAGGGGAGGTGGGTGGGGGGTGGGCGAAATAGGTACAGAGGATTAAGATACACTTAATTGGTAATGTACAGAACTGCTGAATCACTATATTATATCCCTGAAACCAGTATAATATTGTATGTTAACACTAGAATTAAAATAAAAAAATATATTTTTAAAAGAATAAATAAATAAATAAATAAATAAATAAATAAATAAATAAATAAATTTAATCTCTAACTTTATGCAGCCAAAGATAAGACAGGGTAAAAAAAATGAATGCAATTTTGGCATGTAATTCACTCCAAGGAAACCTTTAAGATTTAATTAAACTGAAGAACCTCTGAAATAATATTTGCCTTTATATCCCAAGTTGTGAGACTGAAAAGATTACTGTAATTCTCTCTCATTTAAAGCAATTTTAGTGTTTCCACCTGTAATCCTGTTATTCTTCATAAATGCTCCTCTCTAGGCCTCTGTCTCCTCCTTAGGGGAGAACAAATCCATGTGGAATACTCAAATAGGCACTTTTTTTTTTTTCCTTTTAAGATTCTGGGAACTGTGCATTTTCTAGACTTGATATGCCACTAAATACATAGCTTCAGTTATACTAAGTGGAGGGTTTTCAACCTCTAGAGATTCTTCTGTAATGTACCAGTCATCACTTAGCTGTACGGGATAAAGAGGGAACTGTATTGAAGTTAAATTCTAGAACTGTGTATATCCAGTAAACCCAAGTGCATAACACAGAGCCTCAATAATCACAAGAATCACATTTAATAAACCATAATTGTTAAGACCAATATGCATTAGGAGTCCTCGGATTAAGTTAGGTCTTTTTACCATATATGTTGCCATTTTTCATTATGTGCCTGGTATTAACAATTATGTTAATACAGTGTAAGATTAAATATTTTTTTGAAGCTCTGAGTCAAGTTAGGTAGCACCTGAAATTTAAAGATGTCCAGTCCAGAAATTAAATGATACAAAACCAAAATATCTTTGCCAACCGAAAAATACAGAATGAGATAAAAAGGGATAACACTGATGATTTTAACTAAAAATTTTAAACCCATAAGTTCAATTTGTTCAAGCTTCACACAAGAAAATACGTAAATACTTACAATTTTCTCCTCAGAAGAAAGAACACCCTCTACTGCCACTATCTGGTACTGCTTATGTTTTAAATTTCCCACAAATTTCCGAAGTTGTTTGAGATTGCTAGCCTCTGTATCTTGCTTTAATAGTTTCTGCATTTCCCGAGAAGGACATCCAGGATCAAATATTAGTAAACATAATGTTCGATTTTTTCTCTCTTCAATTCCAACAACTGTTCGACTATGACCTATCAAAAAACAAAACAAAACAAACCTAGCTGTATATATGTGTATGTCCTGTCTATTGCTATACATATAGATATGTTACTAAATACATACACATACACTATATACCCTCTGTATGCAGTGTGTGCACATTTGTCTTCGGAATATAAATAGTCCTAACCAGTCTCTCATTCTAAAGACAAAATAGTTTTAATTCTATTTCCTAATCTTTACTTTTCATTTTTTGAAACCTTTAGTTTCAGTTTTTATTTTCTTAAAGGCTTCGTTACAAAAAATTATGTCTACTGTGGCATATATTTTAGTTTTTCTTTCCTAATCCCTTGATCCTTCTTAATCAAATCATCTCACATGAAAGCATTTGAAAATTACTTACCACAAAACAGAAACTCTTATGAATCCAAAAAGTTAACAAAAGTAAATTAATATATACTAGAATTTCAACAGGGAGGGCTCAACATTTACAGCTTGTATTCCTAAGTAACAAAATTCCCTACACTTACTTCTACTCCTATTGATTCAAATCATCTGTTCAACAAAATGTATCAAGTATCCATGTGCCAGGCACTATTCCAGGCAGTTAGCTGTGCAGAAGCAAACAGAACAAACATTCCTGCCTTCTTGGAGTTTTTACTCTAAAAGGAAGGAATACCCTATAAACAAGGTAAATAGGTAAGCATATATTACGTTAGATAAAAAAAAAATAAAGCAGGGAAGAGAGAGAAGATGCCAGTGTTGAGGGCTATTTACAAGGTGGAATTTTAAATAAGGTGATCAGGGAAAGCCTCACTGAAGTGACATACATGAAGACCTATAAAAAGGAAGGGATGAATAAGAAAGGAAGAGTGAACCCAGGGGCCCTGAATGAATGAGGCACAGCATCCTTCATTACCTAGGAAGCTACCATAATGACAATGTAGCTCTGAAAATCAGACTAATGTCACAATACTCCCCTCTTCCCTTGTATCTGAATCTTAATCTATCCTAAAGCAAAAGCCAATTAGTTGTTCTATAAAGGTATTACCTTATAAGCTATACTTCCTATCTATGAGTTATACCAACCTTGATGCTGAAGATAGATAGGAGGTTTAGATGTACACACTACTTTTGGATTCCCTTCTCTCTCTGAAGAATAATAGTTCAATATCCATTCAAATAAGCGAGGATGGGTACCCAAAGGACCAGTTGACTTATGAAAATCAACAATGTGGCATCTATAAAAAATTTGATAAAATGGATTATTTGGAGAATATTTTTTTTTTAAATATATTTTTTTAATTTTTATTTATTTATGATAGGCACACAGTGAGAGAGAGAGAGGCAGAGACACAGGCAGAGGGAGAAGCAGGCTCCATGCACCGGGAGCCCGACGTGGGATTCGATCCCGGGTCTCCAGGATCGCGCCCTGGGCCAAAGGCAGGCGCCAAACCACTGCGCCACCCAGGGATCCCTGGAGAATATTTTTTAAAACATTTTCATCAATGGAGTTATCAAATACAAAAAAATTTAATTTAGAACTAATTTTATCCCAGGAATATTTTCCTAAGAAGAAAATATATATAAATTTCATTATGTATCAGGAAAAGTATCATTTTATGAAAAAATAATTATTTAAATAACTTTATAATAATGTTGATGGCTGATTTCAAAGTTACAAACATTTTCTGACATATAGAATCTCCATGAATAGTAAATGAGGACCATACTTGGTTTTTAAAAGTCACCTACATGTAATCTGAGACACAAATTTCATTCTAAACTCTCTAAACCTGGGCAGCCCCGGTGGCTTAGTGGTTTAGCACCACCTTCAGCCCAGGGCGTGATTCTGGAGACCCGGGATTGAGTCCCACGTTGGGCTCCCTGCACGGAGCCTGCTTCTCCCTCTGCCTGTGTCTCTGCCTCTCTCTCTCTGTCTCTAATAAATAAATAAAATATTTAAAAAATAAATAAAATCTCTAAACCTGATGATCAATTAGAAGCTGACTTCTAATTTTAATTCCACAACAGCCATTCATATCCATTAAAAATATCCTGAGTATTTTTTCAGTTGGCTCTTACATTCCAATAATAGACAAGAAAATACCTGTAAAGATGTTAGAAAAACTCTGTATACATTCCTATCTATACATCTACCCATCCCCTATTTGGCACTAGACCACAGTGGTGTTTCTTCTTCAAGAGAAGTCAACCTTGAATAAACAAAATTATTTTAACCAGAAGCACTACTGACACTTCTCAGTAACTATTTTTAAAAGGTTGGGTATAAGCAAGGCGTGTCTGGGTGGCTCAGTGGGTTAAGTGTTCAACTCTTTTTTTTTTTTTTAAAGATTTTATTTATTTATTCATGATAGTCACACAGAGAGAGACAGAGAGGCAGAGACACAGGCAGAGGGAGAAGCAGGCTCCATGCGGGGAGCCGACGTGGGATTCAATCCCGGGTCTCCAGGATCGTGCCCCAGGCCAAAGGCAGGCGCCAAACCGCTGCGCCACCCAGGGATCCCTAAGTGTTCAACTCTTGATTTCTGTTCAGGGTCTCAGGGTTCTGAGATGGAGCTCCACATCAGGCTCTGAGATGAGCATGGAGTCTGCTTGAGATTCTCTTTCTCCCTCTGCCTTTCCCCCAGCTTGTGCTTAGTCGCTCTTTCTCTCTCTCTCTCTCACATAAATAAAATCTTAAAAAATAAATAAAAGGTTGGGTTATAAGCAAAATTAATTAAAAGCTTTACTGTCACTTTAAAGTACAGCACAGATACCCTTTCCTTGTCTCTCTGGACAATAAAATCTCCAAATACACCAAAATTGCAATGGTTGCTATCCTTAGCCTCAGCAAGTGTATTGTTGATAACTTCCAAATGATTACTAAGTTTTAAAAACTGAACTTCTGATTAAATTTTTAAAAAGTAGGTACACTGCTTTTAGGTTAAAAATTGATGACATGGGATCCCTGGGTGGCGCAGCGGTTTGGCGCCTGCCTTTGGCCCAGGGCATGATCCTGGAGACCCGGGATCGAATCCCACGTCAGGCTCCCGGTGCATGGAGCCTGCTTCTCCCTCTGCCTGTGTCTCTGCCTCTCTCTCTCTCTCTCTGTATGACTATCGTAAATAAAAAAAAAAAATAAAAAAAAATTGATGACATGTTTAGATTTAGAATTTGAATAATATCCTAGAGAAAGGAAGACATTTACACAAATAGTAAACAAATTCAGAGTATAGTATTAAAGTGGCTTTACTAAAAAACTAAACTATTTCAGGCACCAAGAAAAAAGCTGGACATATCAGGTATTCTAGATATTTTCCTTTCCTTAAACATTATTTGAAAACTCAGTACATGGTATAATATGTAGTCTTAAAGTGTCAACAGACTGGCAAGAAGAAAACGAGAAAAAATAAATTTAGAGGGCATTAAAATAGTACTTCCAATATAAATAATTCAATATACTTATTAAAGTCTTTGTCTTTTATAGATTTATTATATATGACTGATGAATCCCTGAACTCTACCTTTGAAACTAATAATACACTATATGTTAATTGAATTTAAATTTTAAAAACTTAAAAAAAATAGTGTATTGCATATTTGAAGGCTGCTCAGAAGGTAAATCTTAGAAGTTCCCATAAGAAAAGATTTTGTAACTATGTACAGTGATGGATGTTAACCGGACATTGTGGTGGTCATTTCCTAATATACACAAATATCAAATCATTACACTGTATACCTGAAACTAATATAATGTTATATATCAACTGTGCCTCAATTTAAAAAATGTTTGAATAGAGACACCTGGGTGGCTCAGCAGTTGAGTGTCTGCCTTCGGCTCAGGCCGTGATTCCGGGGTCTGGGATCTAGTCCCACATTGGGCTCCCTGCGGGGAGCCTGCTTCTCCCTCTGCCTATGTCTCTGCCTCTCTCTGTGTGACTCTCATGAATAAATAAAAAATATTTTTAAAAATGTTTAAATAAATTTTTATTTATTTTGAGAAAGCACGAGTTTTTCTATTTAAAGTTCTATTTAAAGTTTTTCTATTGCTGTTTAAAAGTTAAAAAATATTTTTACCTCTGAAACCAACCAATTAATATTAATAGGGTAGAAACAATGTAAAACAAGCATAAAGGAAAATACAGAGCCATGAAGCTTAAAGGCAAACTTTCAATTCAAGATGACAAACATCTATCTCTATTCCCTCTTGAAAGCCCAACAACATAGTACTGGAGAAAATGATTCAGATAGTAAAGACAAAAGAATGGAGACAGACAAAAGCAAGAAAAGGAAATATAAAAGCAAATGCAAAAAAATAGACAACTGTCTTAAAATCCCAGAGAGGCTGGAAGCTTAGAGGCACTAGGTATTGGGGAGACTATACAATATGAAACAAATTGAAAGCTTCCACAAGGAAGGCAAATCACTGCTTAACTATTCCCTCCATCAATGTAGGAGCTTAGGCAGGAAAGTGGAGAACTCTTCTTTGAATGGTCCTTTACTGAAATTTGAGAGTTCCTCAAATAGCAAGCTTCCACCTAAAACTGTAAATGAAGCCTGCTCATCTTCAAGCTCCATGAAATCTTACAGGACCCTCTGATCAACTTTTTAGTGCCTCATCTTCACTCTAGGAATGGACTAAGGATTTACAAAAGTTAGAAGAAAGCCTTCAAAATGCAAAGGACTAAAATAAATAGACATGAAAACAAATTAACATGGAAGAAACCCACAAAATTCAAGGAATAGAAAGAAAATAAATGCTGGGAAAAAATTTTGCCACCATAACAGACTATGATGCTATGAAATTACTCCTTAAAATTAACATGATTGCTAAGATACAAATTTCAATAGAGTAATTGGGAGATAGAGCTGAGAAAGTCTACATAGTAAAACAAAAGCAAAGGTAAAAAAAAAAAAATGAAACGTGACCAATAAACTTAAAAAGTGAAAGGAGTTAGGTGGCCAACTACCAGAAATTCCAGAAAAAATAAAGAAAAGGGAAGGATCATAATTATCAAACAACAGCTAACCTCTGAGCTCTTACTATATTGTAGTCACAGTTCTAAGCACCTTATTATTTAATATTACTCTAACTCTGTGAAGCAGTTAGTACTTACATGTTCTTTTTATCAATAATGGAACTAAGCTATAGACAAATTAAGTCATACAGCCAATAAGCAGGAAAGCTAGAATCAATTGTAGGCAGTCTGACTCCAAAGTCCAAGCTCTTCATCCCTATCCCGAGATCTTTAAACTCACAATTCCAGATTCAAAAGGAAAAACAAATGCCCAATATAATGAATTAAAGCCCCACATTCATGGTAGAATTTCTTAACAGCAGAACTAAGAGTTGATGCAAAAAACTTTCAGAGAAAATAAATAGGTTATATATAAAAGGAATGAAAATCAGATGACATTTTACGTTCTCAATAGGAACATTGATTGCTAGAAGTCAACAGAGTAAAAACTTAATTTGATCTGAAAATGATTTTGAATTTAGAATAATACAGCCACCCAAACTATCAGTTTATCATTAGACACCTTTCCTTAGGGAGCTAATGAAAGATGTGTTTAAGCAGAAGAGTAGTCCAAAAAAGATAACGACATGGAATCCAGAAAAAATTCCAGGCTCTGCTTCAAGGAAACCATGATGGAATGCTACATGATTAGCTTTGAAGGGGATCCAGGAGACTAGCGAGTGCAAAGACAATAGAGGGCTCAAGGAAGAAGTGTCCAGGAATAGGAGTGCCTCAGATTACAAAGTGGAGTGTGTAAAAATGTATGAGACCATGATGCAGCCAAATAGTAATAGGGAAAAGAAAAGACAATTCTTAACTCAAGGAAAATTTTTAAAAGGTTTTCAGGAAAGGAAATAAAATAATAATAAAAAAAAAAGGAAATAAAATCAGCAATGAATGATATTATAGTCATGATGTAAACTCTGACTTAAATAAAAAAGTGAGATTTAATCAAATTATAAGGACTGAGGGTGAACATAGGTAGGAAATGTGAGGGAAATTCAAGAGATGATGTCTAAAACTGATAAAAAACAAAACGTAAAAAGCCCTGAGAGAAAAAGCATATTATTCAGAAACAAATGAAGTAACTAACAGCTGCCTCTGAGAAATCAGACTTGAGAATAGAGAAGAACATGAGCTAGGGACTGAATTACTGATTTTTAGTAGACGCCTTTCAGTGTCTCTTAAATTTTATTTTTTAAATGTCTCTTTGATTAAAGAAAAAACAACAAAGAAAACCTCCCAGATATGTCAATAACCTTAACTTGGGTTTTGTGGTACATACTTTACCCGTAGGGAGGTCAGGAGTGTATATACTTCACATGCTCCGATCCAGGCCTTTGTTCCCTGTAACCTGTTATTAAGTTGAGAGGCACCCTGTGGATCAAAACCTTCCTTCCATGCATCTTCAATCATAGACTGAATTTTTGGAATGCAAGGAATTGACATACCTAAAATTATACAAGCAAACATATTACATGACAGTTACTAAAGTACTAAATAGTATCAGTTAGTAGTACACCACGTGCTCTAGAGGACCTATAACACGGTTTTTAAGATCATTACTCTTGACATTTTCTATTTTATCATTTTCTCTTCTTCCAACCAGAATTCAGGTTTTAACGTAATTATCCACCAAAACACTTCTTCGTTACAGCTATTAATTGTATGCACTATATATGAATTCATTCCATATTATATGTACAGGTGATCCTTGAACAATTCAAGGGTTAGGAGCACTGACCCCTTACACAGTCAGAAATCTGCATACGTTTTGCTCCCCCAAAACTTTCTTAAAGATTTTATTTATTTATTAGAGAGAAGGAGAAAGACATTGAGATATCACAAGCAGGGAGATTGGCAGAGGGAGAGGGAGACTCCTTGCAGAGCTTGATCCCAGGACCATATGAGCTGAAGGCAGATGCTTAACCAATTGAGCCACCTAGGCACCCTGTGCTCCCCAAAAACTTCACTACTAATAACCTACTGTTGACCAGAAGCCTCCCCAATAAATATAAAAGGAACAGTTGATTAACATATATTTTATATTATACATATTATATACTGTATTCCTATAATAAAGCTAGAAAAAAGAAACTCATAAGGAAAAAAGTCATAAGAGAAATAAAATACTAGACTAAAAAATCCATTTATAAAAATCCATGTATATGTAGTTCAAACTCATGTTTTTTAGAGGGCCTATGTTATCAGTGGACAAATTGAGAGAACTGTATTTCACATACCTTTCAAGCAATCATCATAAGCATCATTTTGCAGTAATGATGAAAGTAGCATCTGGAAATTTCTGTAACCACAACCCCAACCTTTGTCACCAAAAGATGAATGAAAGTGATCCACCCCTGTGGAAAGCCACACGCGTCTCACATCTGTGGCAGCATTCTGATAGTATCTATGAAGTGCTTCAATAATTCCTAAAATAATAATAAAAAAAGAAGATTTAGAAGGATAAGCTATCCTCTTCTATGGCTGTCTCATCTATTTCTAGTACCAGCCCCTCTCCTCCCTCAAGTGCCCCATCTAAATCCTGTCAATTCCATCTTCTTTATCTTTTGACTGTTATAACCTTAGTTCATGTCTTTCTTGTTACTACTATGCAAGTTTCCTGATACTAGCATACTACTTACTTATTACACAGAATTGAAGTGGTTTACATCTTTCATTTCTGCACCTGCAAGGTGCACATAAAAGTATATTATTGAATGAATGTTATACTTGTCTATTATTATACATAGTGTTGGACATTATGCTCTCTGAAGCTCATCAATTTGCTCCCAATTAAAAACCTTTAGTAATTTCCTATTACCTAAAGAATGGTTATAATCCATGGTATATGAAGCCCCACAGCAAGCTATCCTCTAATTTATCTTTTTCTCCAACCATTCTTCTTGCCATAATTTTGGCTGTCACCTAACTGAATACATTAAATGTTATTTTGCCCATGGAATTTCTACTAACAATGTCTACTAAGCACTTTTTATATACCTAGCACTATGCTAAGTGCTAAGATACGAAAATATATATATAAAGATATATAACATTTTCCTTGAAATCTCATGGACTCAGACCATAGTAAGTACTATAATATGGATAAACAAGGTGTTAGGACAGAGTACATGTGATCCTATCCTTTTGCCTCCTTCTGGTATACACTTCTTGTATTTTGAAATCCTACAGATACTCCACAGATCACATGCTCATGTCTTCACAGACCCTTTTCCTGATTCTAAAACCCAAACAAAACGGTCCTCTTTCCCTGAACACACACTGCATTTATTTGTTGTGCTCCTAGGTACTAGCCATATTCTGTCACGAGAACACAACAGTTTTGTGTATACTTTACTTCTCTACAGACTCTGTGAAGGTTGTGGGCAGGAAGGTCTGAACTGGGTAACGCATACCTTCTCAATAGGGTATGTGGTACCAAAAAGACAATCACTGAACTCCTCACTTGAATGAGGGTAACTATGGGAAAATCAGTTTTGTCCTTAACAAGATAGAGCAAATAAGTCAAAACAATTAAATGAACCAAGAGTAGTAGCTGTGCCTGGCATATGAAAGATGGAAATATATATAAGCATTTCCAAGGAATTTTGAAAGGTAAGATTTACAATCAAGAAAAAGAATAAAAGACTATGTAATTAATTGATTAAAAATGGTAGCATGGAATGGATACTCTAGAATTCAGAGAAAATAAATGTGAACTTCAGTATCAGAAACTTTGATGAAGAAAACAAGATTTGAGAGAGATCACTGAGAATGAGAGGGAAACCTCCCCCCCCCCAAAAAAAAAGAAGTAATGAACATTCTAATATACGTTGGCATACTTATTACTAAGACAATGGTGCCTCACTGTCTAGGTAACACGGTCTTAGCAACCACATCATATAACTGCCAAAGAAAAAGTTCCTCATAATAGTATTTTTTACCCTTAGCCCTTTAATCTCTTTAAGATATTACCTAAGATGAAATCTATCTTTCGTTAAATTATAATCTATTGTTAAAAAGAAATAAGAGTAACTAATAGCTGCTTCAATTAACATTTGCGTAACTAACAAAAATAAAAATCTTTGCCACACAATCACTGAATTCCAAAGCAGTTTATAAAAAGGACATAGTACATTACAGAGTAGTATTCTTTAATCTTCTACAGATATATTAATATTAAATTATATATACTGTACCACATTCTATAGTAATTCTAAAACATATGCACAAATAGAAATTAAAGGGTGACATAAATTAAAATAGAAACTCTAGTATTTTCTTCCTGTACACCTTAATAAATCATATTCCACATCTCCTGGAATGCCCTAACTATCCCACAGAAACCTTTTTACATGGAGACCCTTGAAGAAGTATAAAGACAGCCTTCAGAAACACTCATGGGGTATGAAAATACATGGCATTAGGGAATTACAGATAAGTGGGGAAAGTACAGAGTTGCTTTCCTTTCTTATTGCTTGAGAGCAATTCCTTTCTTATTGCTTATTGCTTATTGCTATTCCTTTCTTATTGCTTATGTATATTCAATAAGAACTTACAAGTGCTGTTATATATGAGGAAAAAATTAAATCCACACCTCCTCTTTCTCTCTCTCTCCTGTCTCATACAAATAAATCCCATGTAAATTAAAAGTAGAAATAGGAAACACAAAGTACAAATGTTTACAGAAAATATAAAGGAATATGTTTATGATCTTGAAGCTGGGGGATTTTCTTAAATTACTTAGGATATAAATAAGGACAAAGACTGAGAAATTTGATTATAATCAAATTTAAAATTCTAATTAAAGATATCATATACAAAATTTAAAGGTAAATTACAGATGTTGAAGAAAATATTTGTATTTCATGTAATCAACAGAATTGATGTCCTGAATATTGAAGGAACTCCCACAAACCAGATAAGAAAAAGATAACTCAATAGAGAACAGACAAAGGAAAGGAACAGGAAACTAACTCAGGAGTAATCAGGAAAATGCAAATTAAGTACTACTCTAAGAAAATACTAGAAAGTATTTTCTTTCAAAAATGAGTGGCAAAAATTAAAAAATGTCACCATATAAAGTATGAGTGAGAATACAATGATGCAAATGTAGATTATGATCATTTTGGAAAATAATTCTGCAATAACCTTAACAAGGTTAGAGATGTATATTCCCTTTAACCTAATATTTCCAGTTCTGAATGCATTACTAGAGAAACTCTTAAAAAAGACCTCTTCACAACAGGAACAAACTGAATGTTGCTGGCAGGGAGATGGGTGGGGGGATGGGGCAAATGGTGATGGGCATTAAGGAAACAAACAAAAAGACCTGTTCATAATTTCAGAGTAAGAAACTGGAAACAACCTAAATGTTTGTCAACATGAAAATAGGTAAATTAGTTGTGTGTGTTTCCTCATACAAGGAAATACTAGTATATACTAGAGTCAAAATGAATGACGTACAGCTATAAGAATCAACATATTTGAAGTACAGCTCTAAGAATAAACTGACCAAATAAAAATATATAAAGAATATATACATATATATATATAAAGATCTCAGTGTCTATAACTATATTAAAACAATAGAGTAGCCACTATCTCAGTATGACTATTAAGCACTTGAGATGTGCTTGCCAAATCTAAATATTCTGGAAAGTATAAAATACACATTGAAATTTGAAGAATGTACAAAGATTGCAAAATATTTCATTAATAGTTTTTAATATTGATTATATGTTGAAATAACAACATGATGGACATATGGGGTTTAAAATATTAAAATTCACCTCATTTTCTTTCTTTTCTGAATGTGACTATAGGAATTTAAAATTATATATTTGGTTCACTTATACTTCTATTACACAGCATTGATCTAGAACATAGTAAACAATAAAACTTCTAAAAGGTTCATTTTCAAATGTCAAGTAAATGAACACAATATAAAAGTAAATTATTTTTAGGTGAACTCTTTAATGTAAAAATAGAAGTGCAGAAGTTTCCAAAAAATACAAAAAATTATATGAACAGTCTCACCTAAAAGTATAAAAACTATGGATTATTAAAATTAAGCAAAATTCAAATAATCCTGATTATTACCTCACTGTTATATGAATTACTAAAATAACAATTTTGATGTTTAAGTACTCACCAGAAGTTTTTGTTTTTCCATCATCAATACCAATAGCTAGAGATTCCATCATATCAGCTTTTCTTCTATGAAATTCAGATGGATGCATTCTTCCCCTATTGACTTCTATCTCCATATTTCGTAGTTGCTGTTGTTTGTATCCTCCAGAGTTATCTAAACCATATTGTCTCTATCAAACATAAAAACAAATGACTTAATTTTTATGTCCCTTTACCTCAATGAAGATGGAAACTTACTACAATTTTATTTGGAAATGTAATTTGAAACATTCTGGTGTATAGACTTTCATACAAGTCAATTCAAGATTTTTATTAGAGATAAATAACACACACACACAGAAACCCTGAGTTAATAAGAGTGTTTCTCTATAAACTACTACCATAGCAAGAGATTTGCTTTCCTTATAGTTGGGAAAGTAAAGAATCCTATATTTCTACTAAAGGTACTGAAAAAGGCAGATGAGTTCTGAACATATCACTGATTTAAGAAAGCTTGTCAGTTCTTATTTGGTTCCCAGGCTAGTCAATGAAGTCCTACTTAATCCATAATTCATTCAGGCAGTAACTCTACACAGTAAATTTTTTTTTTTTTTTTTTTTGTATACTGGATAGAGAATCTCAAATGTGTAACAGAGCCTCTATGGAAAAAGTTTCTGAGATCTAAACAATTTGCAAAGTTACTTAACAAACTTCCTATTTAAAATTTTTTTTTTTTATTTATTTATGATAGTCACAGAGAGAGAGAGGCAGAGACACAGGCAGAGGGAGAAGCAGGCTCCATGCACCAGAAGCCCGATGTGGGATTCGATCCCGGGTCTCCAGGATCGCGCCCTGGGCCAAAGGCAGGCGCCAAACCGCTGCGCCACCCAGGGATCCCCAACAAACTTCCTATTTAAATACTGGAAATTTTTTGTATTGATGATATTCAAAATTATGCAAGACAGGGAAAATTTAGGAAAAGACAACTTTTTTTCTTCCTCTGAAAGTTGGTGGGAAAATATTTTGCAAATAAATGAATCACCAAGGAGAAAAATAGCCTAAATTAGATATTCCAAAATGAGAATTAGTCATGTGTGACATATCGGAAAAGAAAAACTCAGAAGTAGGCCGGAGAAAATTATTTGTACAATGCACATTAGTATATTAAAGGTTTCGACAAATCTTGAAGTATACAAACCTGTTTAACTGAATATTTTCAAACTTAATCATAAACCCTTTTTATTCCATAATCCTATTAGCACATAGAAAGAGAGCATTTAGAAACTGTGAGCATTATTAGCACAGGTAACACCATAGTCCACAGCAAATTAGGACTGAGAAAAGTAGAAAAATCTATTAAAAATATAAATGCACCAAAAATATATTAGATGCTGCCAGTTTAGTTTAGCAGATACCATCATCAACCTAAGATAAAAATCTCAAATATCATAAAAAATGCATTTTCCATTAAAAATGGGTCTTTAAAAATGCCTGAATTGCAATCACTAAAAGAATCTAACACTCAGGAGAAATTAATTCAAAGTTTCTCTTTTAAGTATCTATATAAACACTTAAATTCTGAATCTTGGTTTCCTAATGTGCCCTATCAACTTAACATAGGTTTGAATCTAGGCTTTATCATTTAATACAGCCCGAACCTGAACAAGTTACTAGCTATGTGAGCACTCGGTCTCTACTTCCTCATCTGTCATGTAGGGAGTTGTTGTGAAGATTTTGAGATACTATATATGAGGTTCTTATCCCAGGAAATGACCAGAGTGAATACTTATAAGTGGTAACTATTATGAATTATAAAATATAAATGTAAAAAAAGTATTTTATATACCAACAATGGCAAAACTAATAGGCTGCAGTATTGACAGCATGTTTGAAAAATAAGAATTCTACCAACGCAAAATACTGTAATTGTTTAATCTTTGTACCTGCAGCTTCTGAAATTCTCCCATTTCTTGTCGTGCTTCTTCAGATCTCCTCTTTCTGTCTTCTTCTTGTTGAAGTTGGTGAGCCAATTCCAGATCTCGAGAACACTGTACTCTATTTATGCCTATTAGATATTAGTTTAGAATAAAATAACAACTGTATTCAAATCTCATTATACGTTAACTCCTGTTTTTTAAATGAAGCAAATGCCATTATTTTGGTATTTATTCATGACTATGATGTCATGAAAATACAGTTTCTAGCAGAACTTGAACAGTTTCTATCATGGTACCACCTCCACTTAAATCACTAATACTCACTGAGTAGGTAGGCTGTGACAAGCATTTTTCATTAATTATCTCATTTGATCATTATAACAACCTTAGGAAGTTAGGTATTACGTACTAAGGAAACCAGAACTTTGAGATATTAATACTCTTAATTAGCAAAAAAGGAAAACTGGCTTTTAAAATAAACCGGTGGGAGAAAAGAAAATAATAGAGGGCATAAAAATATGTTTGCAAAGTCCAGCTTAATTACAGTCTGGTCTCAAACAAATAGTACAACTTTGCCACATGTTGTCCTGTTTCTTCTCTACTCAATACCCTGCAGATCCATTAGCTAGTGGCTTCTGGCCAGGATCTTGTCGCCCTGACTTCTAATTTGATATTTGAATTATGTATCTGGATATTCTTTCTTTCCTTCCAAATCTCTCAGTCTTTACTACATCTTCCTATTGGTCCCCATTTCCACTGCCGGAGATAAGCAATTTACAACTGATTTTTAGCGTACTTCTGACGCAATCTACAGTGATTTACTCAGGCCATACCTTCCATTATTTACCATAGGCTTATAGAATAATTTATGTACCCCTACAAAGCCTATCATAAACAAAAGAAGAGTTACATTCAGCTTCAGAGGGTTATTTTTTCCACAGTAGTAGAAAATCACTGGAGCAGAGGACTGTTCATCTTTGCTCCAGGGATTCTCATTTTGAGATTAGGCTGAGTAAGCAAGGAATATTGTACATGAAGATCCTATTCCTTGTACTGACAGTAAGTACTAAGATCAGTAATAGAGGATACTCAAGACCCCTGAATTATTAGGAGATTTCAATGTACCTTAAGAAAATGAAGCCCAGTAGAACACAATTGGTTTCTCTTAGGGTCTACTTTATATTGTTTCATTGGGACTCTGAAACTCACAGGATCTTTCCACTTCTAAGGCATCACAATGATTTTTTAATCAATGACACTACTCAAAGACATAGGGGACAGAGAAAAAATTGTACAGAGTCACTTACAAAACTAGTAAGTGATAATATAAGAAACTGGGCAAACTGGAAATGAACTTGAAAACAGTTAAATCATAAAGTTCACGTATTTTAAAAAAATTATATGTGTCATATGGCAGCTTCCTAGCTCATCAACTTTTGCTGACCTGATGCTAAATTCAGTAACTTCTAGCTGCTGAAATAGCCTCAACTTCATCAAACATATTTCTTAAATTGTACCATATTTCACTGTCTTCTAAATATTGGTATTTTGGGGCAAAACTCTGGGGTACACACCACTAGTTTAGTTGCTGGTCACAGCAATTCCTATACAACTTTTCTGTGAAACAACTTCTAAAAAGAAGTTGAAGGGAGGGCAGCCCCGGTGGTGCAGCAGTTTAGCGCCACCTGCAGCCCGGGGTATGATCCTGGAGACCCAGGATCGAGTCCCACGTCGGGCTTCCTGCATGGAGCCTGCTTTTCCCTCTGCCTGCGTCTCTGCCTCTCTCCCTCGCTCTCTCTGAATGAATAAATAAGTACATCTTTAAAAAAAAAAAAAGTTGAAGGGACATTAGAATTCTTTAAAGGTACAAATTTATTTTTAACTGGTATGCTTTGTTCTCTCTATATCACTACTCTAAAGATTCAATATATTCTAGGCAGCAGAAATTACATCACGAGATTCTTATTTTTAAACACATCAACATACCTTGTCCAAAGTTGCTTTCTTCTAAATGTAAGTCGACATGTTCCTGAAGAATATGGTAATTTGTACAGATGAGCCCACACATAGGACAGTCATACAGTGGTTGATCATGGTCTGTTTTGGAGATATAATTTAGTTGGTTTTTTAAAACTTCAAGATTTTTTCACCTGAAGTCAAAGATTGTCTACTGCCCAATAACCAATTAAATAAGTAAAAGCTCTTTATAGTTGGATTTAAAGCTATTTTCTAATTCTAGAGTCAAAATGGAAGGCTGAACATAAGCACAAATCTCTTACCGGTATAATAAAAGAAAAAAAAAATAATAATAAACAGTTGGATCTGTAGTTAAAGAAAGAAAAGTATAAAGGAAAATTAAAATGGTAAGTAGGGGCCAGTCTATGCATGAATTTTAGGGACTAAATTGTCAGCACCCTTCCTCCAAAACTGAGTGGTGAGGTGCAAAATTCAGCACAAAGCTTTCAGCATAAAGCTTGGAACTGGGATCACACTGCCTAGTTGGGAGCAGGAGATCAAAGTGCTGTATTCACCAAGCAGCACTGTAAGCAGACAGGTGCAGCTTGCGCAGGAAAGAAGCTGCACCCTCTGCATGACCAAGAATGGACTGATATTGTGCACAGAAGAGGGACACAGAACACTGAGCTGAGCAAGCCATACATGTAAGGCCTGGTCTGGAAATGGAATAACCATATTTAGAAAGTAGCTGAGACTGCCTTGTAGCTTTTATTTCTACTAAGTGAATGTGACTGGTCTTATTTTAGGTGGATCGGCTGACCTTAAAATTGAACTAAGTCAATCTGATATGTTTGGTGAGAGGCTGCATTCAAAAGATTTAAAATGAGTTGATATATACTATGGTGGTGAAAATGGAAACCAAGTCATTGAGTTATCTAGGGTTGTTCTTTCAAGGTAAAATTCATTCAAAAAGAGAAATTAATTCAACACTTTGGTGAAAATTAGCCAGGACACAGACAAGTACTGTTTTGGAGCTGACGATAAACTAAAGCTTTGGAATGGGAGCTGTAGAGATTCTAACAGTTTATGAAAATCTGGATTCAATGAGAAATGTTCTTCATTGCCAAGGCACAAAAGAGGAGAACACTCTCTATCTAACTGTGAATAGGAGAAGGATAAATCTCATTTCACTGACAGGACAGGAACATGAACTGCTTAAAAATATGTCCCTGATAGAATGGTTTGCTCACAACTCTAAAAAATTTGGAGCTACATTGGAAATTGTCACAGGTAAGTCATACAAAAGATCCCAGTTTGTGAAAGCATTCAGTGGAGTTGCAAGTATCTTGCAATACTGAGTTGATTTCCATGGAATGGAATACCAGGGAGGAGATAATGAATTTTTTTTTACCCTGATGACTAGTAGGCATTTTTTTTTACCCACCAAACTGTACCACACCTTCTAGCAGCCAACTCAAGGAACATACCCCACTGGCTACTGAAAACAAAACCAAAACAAAACCAGACCCGACCCTACACGTGGCTTTGTCATGGTGTCAACATTGCAGCCTTCAACTAAGTTCTTAAATGATATTTTCCAAAATGAAATGTAAAAAGAAAATGATCTCCCAAAGCCCCCTGGTAAACATAAAAATCCAAACCCACAATCTCCAAAAGCTGTGGGAAAACTGCAAAAGTTATAACATACACAAAATGGGAATACTAGAAGGGTGAAAGGAACAAAAGTTTTAGAGCAATAATGTCTGAGAATATCCCAAATTAATGTCAGACATCAAACTATAGATCTTGGAAGCTCAGAAAACACCAAGCACAGTAAATATTAAAAAAAACTACATCTAGGCACATCATATTCAGACTTCAGAAAATCGAGGATAAAAAACCTTGAAAGGAGCCAGAAGGAAAAACACCCTACCTATACAGGAACAAAGATAAGAATTACATACAGCTTCTCAGAAGTGATTCAGGTAATAAGACAGAGGAGTGAAATATTTCACTTTTCCAGAAGGAAAAAAACCCCATCAACCTAAAATTTTATAGCAATCAAAATTATCCCTCAAAAGTGAAGGAAAAGAAAGAACTTCTCAGACAAAATTGAGGGAAATTGTTGCCAGTAGACTTGCCACGCAAGAAATGTTAAATTCTTCAGAGAGAAGGAAAATGGTATTGGTCAGAAACATGGATATCCATAAAGGAAGAGTATCAGTGAAGCAGGAAATAGTAAAATAAAAACTTTTATTTTTCTCATTGATATAAAAGTTTATTCAAATAAAAATAGAAACAATGTATTCAATTATGTGGGTGTGTGTATATATATATATATATGTATATATGTATGTGCTTACATTTACTTGAAATGAATGACAGCAATGACACAAGGGATGGGAAGGAATTAAGAATAAATATCTTATTATTATAAAGTCTGTACTCCTACAGTGATACAGTGTCATTCAAAAGTAGACCTGGATTAGTTGTTAACATACACTGCAAATTCTAGGCCAAGCACTAAAAAAAGTAAGAACAAGTATAATTGATATGTTAAGAAAGGAAGAGTAGTGAGCAAGTGTCATCTCTTGCCTAGTATCAGGAGTAGAAGTCCAAATGCATCTTGATATCAGAATCACCAAGGAAAACATAATGCAGTCAAGTACTAGAGAGAACCCTTTACTCAAAGTAAACATAGAGAAACACACAGAAGAGAAAGAGCAGGATAACCTTCAGGATTAGACATTAGCCTGCCATGACCAATAGGTCTCTTCTAGCAGCCAATATACGGCAATTGGTCTGTACACACCTCTCTTGTGCCACAGAATGAAGGATGTCATCCCCTTCTGGCAGAGGATGCCATCCCACCTCTGGCAGAAGATAAATCCAGCAGTAAGGCTGGTTCGGGTGCCAGATGACACAAGTGGTTACACAAAACAAAGGAGTATACCTTATTGCCTGAAACGGAAAAATATTTCCAAACACAGGCTGTGAGGACTCTATATCTTGATAAGGAAGTGTTCCAGGCCCAAGGCTCATTCCTATGTAGCCAAATAGGGTCAAAAGACTACACGCATCACTGTTTTTCCCAATAGAAAATGAAATCATATGAGAGGCTCAATTAAACCATAAAAGACAGAAAAAAAGTAGAAGACAAAAAAAGAAGCTAAGAACAAGGGCAACAAAAAGAAAACAATAACAAATATCCAACTATAGAAATAGTCACTTTAAACATCTTTAGTCTAAACACACCCATTAAAAGACAGATTATCAGAGTGGAGCAAAGTACAAGACCTACCTATATGCTGTCTATAAGAAATTCTATTTTAAATATAAATACACATATAGAGGGATGCCCGGGTGCCTCAGTTGGTTAAGCGTCCAACTCTTGTTTTGATCTCATGGGTTGTTGAGATGGAGCCCTGTGTGAGCTCCACACTCCGTGGGGGATATACTTGAAGATTCTCTTCTTATGCCCCTCCCCCCTGCCAAATAAATGAATAAATATTTAAAAATACACATACAGATTAAAAGTAAAGGGATGGAGAAAGATACGTCATGCTAACACTACCCAAAACCAAAACCAAAGAACCAGGAGTAGCTATATTAATTTCAGAGAGGGCAGATTTCTGAATAAGGAATGTCACCCAGGATAATGTTACTACATAATGACAAAGGGTTCAATATTCCAAGAAGACACAATAATCCTTAGTGTATATGAGCCTAACAGAGTTTTTTGGTAAAGATTTTATTTATTTAATCATGAGAGACAGAGACAGAGACAGAGAGAGAGAGAGAGAGAGAGGCAGAGACACAGGCAGAGGGAGAAGCAGGCTCCATGCAGGAAGCCTGACGTGGGACTCAATCCCAGGACTCTAGGATCAGGCCCGGGGCTGAAGACGGTGCTAAACCGCTAAGCCACCCAGGGATCCCCGTAACAGAGTATTAAAACACATGAGGCAAAAATTAATAGAACTATAAGAAGAAACAGATGAATCTGCTATTATACTGTTAGAGAATTTTTTTTTCAGTTAGAGAATTTTTAACCTTCTCTTTTAGAAGTGGACAAATCCAGTAGGCAGAAAATAAGGATATAGTTTGACTCAATGGTACCATCAATCAACTGGATATAATTGATACGACAATAGCAGAATACACATTCTGCTTAAGCTCATATAAAATATAAAATATTCACCAAGACAAACCACATTCCAGGCCATAAAACATAATCTAGGCCATTAAACCTTAAGAAATTTAAAGAATTAAAGTCAAACAATGTCTGCTCTCAGACTACAAAGGAAATAAATAAAAATTAACAAAAAGAGCCGAAAAATCCCCAAATACTTGGAGATTAAACATACATCTAATTAATGTATCAAATCTCAAGAGAAATTTTAAAATATTTTAAACTAAATGAAAATTAAAGTACAACTTAAAATTTATGCAATGCAGCAAAAGCACTGCTTAGAAGGAAATTTGTAACACTGAATGAATGTATCAGAAAAGAAGAAAGATAATCATCCAGGTTTCCACTTCAGGAAACTAGAAAAAGAACAAGTTAAATCCAAGATAAGCAGAAGAAATTTTTTTAAAAAAATGAGCAGAAATAAATGAAACTGAAAACAAAAACTCAAGAGAAAACCAACGAAACCAAATGCTGCTGGCCAAACTAAGAAGAAAAAAGAGAACACCGATTGTTAACACCAGAAGTAAAAAGGAGAACATTATTACATGTCCTATGTACATTCCAAAGATAATAAAGTTATATTATGAATTAGGTCACAAATTTGTAAACTAGATGAAATGGACCAATTCCTTGAAAGACACAATCAGGTAAATTAATACCACCACCACCACCCCAAAAACAACAACAACAAAAACAAACCCTAGGTAAAAACCTAATAAAATATATAACAAGATATACACGAGAAAAAAAATACAAAATTCTGATGAGAGAAATCAGTAAACAACTAAGTTGAGAGATATTTCTTGTTCATGATAGGAAGACTCAATATTGCCACAATATCTATTCTTCCCAATTTGATCTATAGATCCAAGGCAATCCCAATAAAAAAAATCCCAGCAAATTATTTGGTGGCTATCAACAAACTGATTCTAAAATGTATATGATGAGGCAAACTATCTAGAATAACCAAGTTAATATTGAAGAATAAAACAAAGGACTGGTTCTACCTGACTTCCAAGACACTATAAAGCTACAGTACTGAAAAAAAGAACAAAGAGATCAATGAAACAGAACAGAGAGCCCAGAAATAGACTTATAGCCCAGTCAATTAATCTTTGACGAAGCAAAGGCAGAATTATGGAGGAAAGAAAATCTTTCAACAAATGGCGCTGGAACATGTGGACATCAAAATACAAAGAAAATGAATCTAGACTCAGAATTTAAATCCTTCACAAAAGTGACTTGAAAATGCAATACATGTACTAAAGATCTGTTATCCAAAATATTCAAAAAACCTCTTAAAAATCAACAATAAGAAAACCAAAACCAAATTAAAATGTGGCTGAAGACCTTCACAGATATTTTACCACAGAAGATATACCGATGGTTAAGTAACCATACAAAAAGAGATTCATGCTACGTTTATGAGATAGCACTTTAAGACAAAAAATAAATTAAGATGAGATACTACAATACAAATATTAGAATAGCCACAATCTGGAACACTGACAATACCAAATGCTGGTGAGGATATAGAGCAAGAGGAAATGTCATTCACTGCTGAAAGAGCTTGGCAGTTTCTTATTAGAACTAAACACACCATATTATACAATCCATTAATCACATTTCTTGCTATCTACTCAACTATCGAAAATTTCTGTCCGTATAAAAATCTACACATGGATGTTTAAAGCAGCTTTATTCCTAAATGCCAAAACCTGGAAACAACCAAGATGCTTTTCAGTAGGTGAATAAATACACTGTGGTACGTACAGACAATGGAATATTATTCAACCCTAAAAAACGAACTACCAAGCCATGAAAAGACATGGAGAAAACTTAAATGCATATTACTAAGTGAAAGAAACCAATCTGAAAAAGCTATATACTGCATGATTCCCAATGACATTGAAAAAAGCAAAAATACAGAGATAGTAGAAAGATCTGTGATTGCCCCAGAAGTTAGGGTGGGGGAGTGGTGACTAGGTGGTGCACAGAGGATTTTTAGAGAAGTGAAACTATTCTGCATAACTAAAATGGTGGGTAATTGTTATTACACATTTGTCAAATCCTATAGAACATACAACACCAAGAGTGAACGTTAATGAAAACTATGACTTTGGGTGACAATGATGGGTCAGAGTAGGTTCACTGATTATAAAAAAAAAAAAAATGATTATCACTTGGACAGTTATTTATAGTGGAGGAGGTTGTGAATATATGAGGACAGTGGGCACGTGGGTATTCTCTGTACTTTCTACTTACTTTTACTGTGAACCTGAAACTGCTCTAAAAAATGACATTCATTAGTTAAAAAAAGAATCTAGATACTCCTTACACTTAAAAAAAAAATTAACTCTAATGAACCACAGACCTAAATGTAAAATTCAAAACTACAAAACTTCTAGAAGATAACATAGGAAGGATGACCTTGGATTTGGTGATGAATTTTTAGATACGACATCAAAAGCACAATCCATGAAAGATCAAGTAAGTTGCACTTCATTAAAAGTCAAAACTTCTGCTCTATGAAAAACACTGTTAAGAGAATGAAAAGACAGGCTCCAGATTGGAAGAAATATTTGCAAAATAACTAACATCATAGAGTGTGTTTTCTGATCATAAGGGAGTCAATCTCAGAACCACAGAAAACCAGAGTCCAATACAGTTCAGATGCCATTGGGCTGGTGGTAAGTAAAAGCATGCCCTCTGAAAAATGGACTCTGAGTGTATTCCTCCTCAGAAAGGTTCTAAAACTACTCTCAATGTAGTTGAAACATTAACTGAATCAAAATTCTTTTCCATAATTATATTCTTAGATTGCAATAATAGCAAATGAACAATGTTATAAACTGTATTTAAAAAACACATTTGCAGGGTAGCCGCAGTGGCTTAGCAGTTTAGTGCCGCCTTCAGCCCAGGGCGTGATCCTGGAGACCCGGGATCGAGTCCCTCGTCGGGCTCCCTGCGTGGAGTCTGCTTCTGCCTCTCTCTCTCTCTCTCTCTCTGTCTCTAATAAATAAATAAGATCTTAAAAAAAAGACACATTTGCAGTAATCTGATTTACAAACCAATTTTTAGGACACCATATATTAAACTGAGACTACGGTTTTATTACATAAAATGAACATCTTACCTTCTGATGGAGTGTCTAAAAGACTGGCATGCTTTGTTTTCACATGATTTTCCATATCTTGACTGCAATCTTCTATTCTTCCACAGAACGGACATTCGGGAGGACTATACACTGTTTCATAAATTGATCCTTTTATTTTAGATAGGTCACACTCTTTCTCCCTACTTTTAAGGAATTTTCTAGATTCAGTTAAGTTCTCCGAATAGGCTTTATGTTTTAAAGTGTCATCCCTAGGCAGGCTTTGAGGTGAAGTTTTTGGATGATTAGATGCACAAGCTGAATGGACACTAGAATTAACTTCCATTCTACACTGCAAGGTGTTGTCCTTCCTGTTATCTGAAGTTCTAATTTGTATCGTATTGATCCTTGCAAAGCTTCTTTCTAGTTCATTTTGCTCAAAGTGAGCAGTTTCAATATGAAAACACATTTCATCATAATTCACACCTGACAACTTGCAAAATGGACATATAACTTCATTTTCCATGTGCACGATTAGAAGGTGAGCCTTCATGTCTGGTTCTGAGGTTACTGTTTCACCACAAATATCACAAGAAAACATAGTACAACCGGTAGCTAGAAAAGAACATAATATTATTTTAATTTTGAAAGGCTGAAGAGAAATGCATTCTATAAAATGATCTGAAACAAAGTTTTAACAAATATCTAAAACTGGATTATATAGGTGATAGTCTGATGTACTTAACTATTCCTCAAATGTACACACCTCACTATAAATCTCAACCAAACTTTCTCTACTGAATTTTAAATTTATGGTTTCAACAAAATAAAGGCGATAATAGTTCAACTTAAAAATAAATAGCTTTTAAAATGTTTTGAAAAGTGTGTCTTGTCTGAGGTAGAGAAAAAAAAATAATGTTCATAAAATTTCCCAAGTAAGACAAGTCAGTTATGAGAAAACTATAAGAAGAAATCTTATTAACTGATCTAAATACCGAAACTTAAAGTTGTTAACAATGGGGAGTGTAAATAAACACATCTTGGTACAGGAGTTAACAGTTAAAGAGCTTCAGATCGTGGGATCCCTGGGTGGCGCAGCGGTTTGGCGCCTGCCTTTGGCCCAGGGCGCGATTCTGGAGACCCGGGATCAGGCTCCCGGTGCATGGAGCCTGCTTCTCCCTCTGCCTATGTCTCTGCCTCTCTCTCTCTCTCTGTGTGTGTGTGACTATCATAAAATAAATAAAAATTTTAAAAAAATTAAAAAAAAAAAAAAAGAGCTTCAGCTCGGTCGCCTGGGTGGCTCAGTTGTTGAGCATCTGCCTTTGGCTCAGGTCATGATCCTGGAGCCCGCTTCTGCCTCTGCCTGTGTCTCTGCCTCTCTCTGTGTCTCTCATGAATAAATAAATAAAATCTCTAAAAAAAAAAAAAAAGAGCTTCAGATTTATCAAAGTAATTTAAGTAACATTATTGTCATCCTATAGGGAGGATTTGTCAGGTCACCAAAGCCAGAAAATGGTCAGCCAAAATGCTAACCCAGTTGGGCTCCAAACGCTGTTTTCTTGACGGAAAGAAAGAAAACACAAACAAACAAACAAACCAAAACAGAGTAACCAAGGTAGAAAAGAGCACCGATTCTAGAACCAACTGGATTACAAACTCAGGTTTCAAAATGTTACGTAAGACAATCACATCGCACGTCTTTGACGTTCGGTGTATAAAATGAATTGTACCAAAAATCAGCAGTCACTTTAGGGTTTTATGGACTACGAAAGCACTGGGTACCGACAAAAGGCGATGTTTGTTAAGAATCCTTAGAAAGCAACCACAGCCACAAACTTCCTACTTCGTTCAGCCAAGGGCTGCTTGAAAACAAACAGGAAGGGCGGCCCGGGTGGCTCAGAGGTTTAGCCCCCGCCTTCCGCCCAGGGCCTGATCCTGGAGGCCAGGGTTCGAGTCCCGCGTCGGGCTCCCTGCACGGAGCCTGCTTCTCCCTCCGCCTCTGTCTCTGCTTCTCTCTGTGTCTCACATGAATAAAGTTTTTTTTTAAAAATGTGAAAACAAGTTTCTGACTCTAGAAGGAAATTCTCCCAACGCACCAGGGGTAAGAACGTCACGCCCAGTTTCTTTTCTTCCCGGGGCCAGACAGCGGAGGGCTCGGAGCGGGGGATGGGGGATGGGGGATGGGGGACGGGGGACGAGGGACGGGGGATGGGGGATGGGGGACGGGACGGCCGCAGGTTCCTACCCGCCCGAAGGTCCGGCCGCGGCGGCACTGCCCCAGGCTTAGCTTCCTCTTCGGGTCCGCCGCCGGCGCCGTCCGGCTCTCCCGCACAGAAGGGCCCGTCCAAGGAAGAACTGACGCAGGCCCTCCCTACACCCAGAGATTCTCAGTTAACCAAGAAAAGAATCGGCGCCTCCAAAACACTCGAAATTCATCACCACATTCAAAGAGCCTTTTCCTCTGTCCCCGCCTCCCGGAAGGAAAAGCCTCCCAGCCTGCACTGCTCCACGCTTCTCGGGGTCGTGGTGTCTTCTGGGAGTCGTAGTCTTTTGCATCCTCCGTTCAGGATGCTGACTCCTAATGTACTAGGAGAGGCGCAGGAGGCTCTGAGAATTTCCAGAATGAAATCCTACGACGGTTTGTTTGTTTGTTTGTTTTCTTTTGTTTGTTTGTTTGTTTGTTTGTTTAGAACGATTGCAAGGACCACAGGAGGATGGTGTTTAGAAGCAGCCCAGGCTCTCGTGTATCTCAGGTGGCTTTGACTCCCCCTCCTGTAGACTGCAAGGGAATCGCCTTCTCTCAGGCCCTGGAAATGTAGTCATCCTTCTTCTCTCCACTATCCTACCAACGCATTAGCCAAAATGGCAAATATGCTCTCCTTCCCGCATATTAAACTTGGGAGTATCCAATCCTCTCAGCACTTTCACCCTCATACTTTACACGACTCCTACAAATGCAAGGATACACACACAAGTTCAGGGCACTATTCCTTAAATTTTTTGTACCATGCAGTAGTTACAAGCTGAAAACAACCAGAATATCCACAACGGAAGACTGGATATATTATGATATTTTCCTATAAGGGAATTTAGAGTTCTTAAGATGATTTTGTACCTCTAGATTTGTTGATAGGCAAATATATCCATGTCAGGTTTCTGAATAAACATTTAAATCAAAAATATCTTTAATGCAATTCTATTTATGTAAAACTGCCTTTGAGTGTATGTGTGTTTTTGTGAATAAAGAAGGCTGAAGGCATATACTCCCAAATATTACTAGCAGTTGTCTCTTTTTAATAGGTTTTGAGGTATTCTCATTACATGAGTCCACAATGCCCTAGGGCCTGACTACCACGGTATATCAATAAAGGGCTTGTGATGCTACCATGTGCCAAAATCTAAACTGCTCTAGTTGGAAGATGACTAAGACAAGTTCTTGCCTCCAGGTTACAAGATCACATGCATCTTATTTTTAGGCCTCAGTTGTCATTTCATTCGATAAATATATAATGAGTGTATATTCGAAATGCATTTTGCTTGGAACTAGGGCTGCAGCAGTAACCAAAATACTCAAAATGCAGGCTATTTGAAGCTTACACGCTCTTGAGGCAGAGAAAAAGAAGTTAAACGAACTGATCGTGATAAGTGCTATGGGGAAAATAAAACTGGGTTATTTATATGTGGTACTAACGTAGTTAGAAAAGGTCTGTCTGAGGAGCTGAGTGTGCTGCTAAATTTTGCACCAACAGAAGGTAGAACATTCAGGGCAAAGAAAATAAGAGCAAAGGCTGTTAAGACTGAAGGAAAAAGAACATTTGTAACCTAAGTGTAATGTTCTAGAAGGAAGAGTGGTGGGGATCCCTGGGTGGCTCAGTGGTTTAGAGCCTGTCTTCAGTCCAGGGTGTGATTCTGGAGTCCCGGGATCAAGTCCCACATCGGGCTCCCTGCATGGAGCCTGCTTCTCCCCCTGCCTGTGTCTCTGCCTCTCTCTCTCTCTCTCTCTCTCTCTCACACACATGAATGAATAAATAAAATCTTAAAAAAATTAGAAGGAAGAGTGGTTACTATGGGAAGTCAGAGTTGTGGGCAGGGGCCAAATAATGTAGGCTTTTGTAGAAAACTATTAGAATATTTAAATAGGAGAGTGGCATAATCTGATAATGTACAGTATATTTGGGGTTTTGTGCTTCAATATGGCAGGCTAACCATGTACATTTATATTTCCTGCCTCTCAAAATCTACTAAAATGACTTAGAAGAATAAAAATAATAAAAGTAAATGCTAATGAGATTTTAGCAACATTTAAAAGCTAGAAAAAGGACAGATGAGTAGTAACTAACTTGGCTAAGAAGTCAACAAAAACTAATCAGTTTATACAAAAGAATTCTGGAAATGTTCAGAAATTAAAGACTAGATACTCCTGAAAAACGTACTAAAACTGGGCCTGAAGAGAGGAATAGTCTGCTGAAAAGTCTGAATAAGGAGCAGTTAGCACCCCACTTCCAGATTTCCTCAATAACCAAGGTGCCAAGTTACCTTTCCTTTTAAGACAGAAGGCTACAGTTTTGATTTCATGAAGAAACTGAATCAGAAAGACTATAAAGTCAGAAATGCACAGCTAAGAGGGGTGTTAAGGTGTTAGACTATAAGTGGGTAATAGTGAAAGCTAAATACTGAATTATGAGGCCATTTTAACCCCCATCACGTTCTGATGTCTTATATGTGCCCTCCAGACAGGAAATTAAAAGATTCTTCTCCAGGGAAATCATTGGTCTGAGAGAAAAGATCTACAGATAAAGGCTTTTAGATAGTCCTCCAATGAAACAGCCAAAGTCCCATGTTATTACTCTGTAGGGAGGCCAATAATGGGCAAGTAAACCATCACCTGATAACCAAGTTTACAGTAGTTTTCTTTAGTGTCTCACTCTTAAATATGAATAGATGCTCAAGGATCACCAAGCATTAGCGTATGGTGGTGGCAGGAAAGATGAAACCCAATACTATCATAAAGGAGAAGAACTGGGCAGCCCAGGTGGCTCAGCGGTTTAGCCCCACCTTTGGCCCAGGGCCTGATCCTGGAGCCTCGGGATCGGGATCGAGCCCCACGTTGGGTTCCCTGCATGGAGCCTGCTTCTCCCTCTGCCTGTGTCTCTGCCTCTCTCTCTCTCTGTCTCTCATGAATAAATAAATAAAATATTTAAAAAGAAAAGAAAAGAAAAAACTGTGAAGAATCAGAGACAATGAATGAAAAAGAAAAAAGTACTTTAAGGAAACCACAAGTTAATATCTTCAGAGAGACAAAAAAATATTTAATTCCTGATTCAAAAATAGGAAATAGCTCTTGGGACTAAAAATACAATAGCAGAATTTAATAATACAATAGCAGAATCTATCCATCTACCTATCAATCTATCTCAATCTACATCTATCTATCTATCTATCTATCTATCTATCTATCTATCATCTATTTCAATCCAGAGCTGGAAGATAAACCAAGAAATTTCTCAGCAAAAAGAACAAGATAGAAAACAGGATCTTCGTAGGGGCAGGAATGATTTGTTATTTATCTTCTATATTCCGTGCCCAGCATCGCATCTGGAAAAGTCTCTTTCAATGCTGTTGGACTCCAAGGCTGGATTACAAAGTTTCTGTGTTACACTAATTTAGAATTCCTTATTTGCAACTATTCATCCATCAGGGACTATCTTTTTGCCAGAATTCACAGATGTCATAGAATCCGAAGTTTAAACGGCAAAACTGAAACCCGTGAACGAGCAGGACGCACAGGAAGCGGTTAATGCAGCTGAAGCCGCGGAGCCTCCCCGGTGGAGCCCCACGAGGTTGCACTTTCCGTCGTGCACCCCCAGCGCGGCTCTAGTATCCCGTGGCAGCGCCCGGCGCCGCTTAGGCTCCCCATCCACACCACCTTGAAGGATGAATGACTGAATCAGCAAACGCAACCCACGCATGAGTGTGAACGGAGGGGAGCTCGCGCGGAGGACGAGGTCGGGAGGACGCGCGGCTGCCACCGCGCGCGCTCCCGGCTGACACCCGGGAGGCGGGGCGGGGGGCGGGGCAGATGCAGGCCACGCCCATTGAGGGGGTGGAGCTAGGCCTCTCGCTTGCGTGCAAGGGCTTCTGGGAGCCGAGCCTCGGGGTCTCGGGGAAGGGGCGCCGGGAGCCGCCATCTTGAGCTGCCGGCTTGGTCGCTGCGCTCGACGCTGGGGGCGGAGTGGCGGCCCCGCGGTTACCTGTACCGGACGCCGCCGCCGGGAACTGGGCAGTTAAGACGCCGGCTGGAGTGCCACGTTAATGGGTAAGTCGGGGTGGGGGCGGGCCAGGTTGGGTGAGAACCCCGGGCCAGGCCCCTTTGGGAGTTACAGGGTCCAGGGGCCACTGTTACTTGCCCCTTTGCTGGCGGAGGCTCGAGGACCAGGCCGTGCTGCCGGGTATTGGGGTTCCCCCCCGCCCCCCGGTGTACCGCGGGGAGACCGCGGGGGCGTGGCCGCCGGACCTGGTCCTCGCTGCCGCGAAGGTGCGGGAACGCAGAGCCTCGCAGGCGGGAGGAGCCCTGCGGGCCGAGCCGGTGCCGCCGCCCCGGGCCTGGGCCCCGATTCTCGGTACGAGGCTGGTCGGACGTCGCTCGCTCCCGGGACGCGGCGTCTGCGTGGCTCAGGCAGCGCGTTACGAGTTACCCAGGGCCCGGAATCCGGCCCGGGTGGTGGCCCCGGGGGCCTACTTGCCGCACGGTCGCGGCCCGCCAGGTGCAGGTGCAGGTGCCCCGGGGCGGGGTGGGGGGCTCCTGTCCACGCCGGCAAGGGTGGGTGGGTTACATGCTTCTCTCTGATAGCCTGTCATCTGCCTCCCCTCCCAAGATGGAAATTTAATAGGTGTTTTCCTCGGCGGTGCCTAGGAGATGAAGGATCCGAAAGCTATGAAACGGGATAGTGATGCTTCAAAAGACTAGGACATCGGCATTTACACTTAGGCTTTTAAAACATTATTATTATTATTTTTTTTTTTTTAAGAGAACGGACCTCTGACCTGGTGTCTCTTTTTTTTTTCTTTTTTTTTAACACTTTTATTTATTTACGATAGTCACAGAGAGAGAGAGAGAGGCAGAGACACAGGCAGAGGGAGAAGCAGGCTCCATGCACCGGGAGCCCGACGTGGGATTCGATCCCGGGTCTCCAGGATCGCGCCCCGGGCCAAAGGCAGGCGCCAAACCGCTGCGCCACCCAGGGATCCCTGACCTGGTGTCTCTTAATTACAACGCTCGGTGATTCTTATTCTGTAGGGAAGCGACTTTTCTTGGTAAACAACGTTCAGCTGAGTCTCGTCTTCGCTGCCTGTTCAGTTGTCGGGGCTCTAGTCGGCAGGCAGGCTCCCCGTCTTGTGCCGATGTTAATTTTTTTTTTTTTTTTTGCTGCTAGGCACCCAAACCCGTAGGAATGGAGGCTTTTT